ATCGCTCGTTATTATATGGTTAAGAATGATGAGACCACATAGACCATAACATATAGAATCTATCGTTGTTCTCCCATAAAACACTCATTCAACCAGGAAATTATAAATCAATCTATAGATCTACTTCATTAACGTCTGAAGGTCACTGCAAACTAAAATAAACGTGATGATAATCTGTCTACTTTGAGCACTATTTAAAATAGACTTCTTTCCTAGTTGTCGTAGTCGAGTTACGTTAGGTGGACCGATTGGGCATACTATAATATAGTAAAAGACAATGATGCCTACCTTATCCGTCATACTAGTGTCACCAGTGCTACTTGTAGGGACTGCTCTACTCTATATAACTATTAGGAACTTTAATTAATAGTAATCATTTGTATGTTTATATTCTGTAACGGTAATTTGTAATTACTTGTAAATAAACTTTTGTTTCAAAGAGTTTTTTTTGTTTTATTACTTCGGCTGAAGCTATGTCACAAATAGAGTGTTAAAAAATTGTATTTTAATAGAGTGTAATGACTATTTCAATAACTTCTATTCGCAATAAATAATATTCTTGCCTAAAATCTGCCATATTCTCTGATGCTATAGGTTTGAATATTTGACACAACCCGTAAATTCATTTTACATAACATACTGGTAATAACATCAAATTTGTAAAATTAAATTGTCACGAATGATATCATTTTAATAATTTCTAAAATGCATTTTTTATTCTATAAATATTAATTACAAATATATCTAAGTCATACAGCCTTCAGTTCAGTTAGTTAAGTTTTGATAAAATCTTTCAAAATTGTTTTATCAATGTTTTCATTTATTATATAAATGACCCATGATAAATCAAAAAAAGTTTTAATCAAAGTAGTTCTACAAAAACAAATTGTGACAAGCCAAGGTTCGACCACGAAAGTAGGAAACATGAGAGTGGATGAATCGAAACTTATTTCCCCATGGTATCCATATATCGGACTCGTATCGAATCATATGTAAAGTTTATAACATAATCATATATTCATAACAAGATCTACTAATAATTACATTGAACAAATATAGATTAATTAGCAGAATCATAGTTACAAAATTTTTAAATAATTTCTGAAACAACTCAACATATAGCAATAGAAGATACACTGCACCCTTCCAAAGCCGAAATAAAACCACAAATAAGAAAATTATACTAAAATGTACAAAAGTCATTATATTTTGAAACTTATGTAACTGAAAATAAGTGTATACAAGTATATATGTATACATTTTCGTAAGTCTACATAAGATAGTCAGTACTACGGTACTATAAGAGTTCGACCGTGACCGCGCACAATCGATTTATCAAAACCATTCCTGAGGTGGGTAACGTGTATTTACCCATACGATGCCACGTATGAAACTTAACAGACCAACAGTTTTTTTTAATTTTATACAACGAAACATTTATACATGTTTATGTTTAGAGTTTAACGGACATGAATGCACACAAGCAAAAGATACACCTACGGAATTCAGAATTCTACATCAAAAATCTTATAACCTATCTTCCTGAATCTACATCTATTTAAATATAGATAACGAAAAGGTATATCTTTTGCTCCTGTGCATTTATATCCACTAAATTCTAAACACAAACGCTAAATTATCTAGGAATTACATAACATGAAATTTAAAAACTACGACACGACATTTATATTAGAGAGTTTTACAAGCGCACGTTCTATCTAAAATGACGGCCTCGGTGGTCTAACGGTTTAGCACACCGCTTCACATCCGATGATCGCGGGTTCGAATCCACGCACAGTGCAAACATTTGTGTTCATGAGTATGATTGTATGTATCGGTCTGGGTGTTTTCTATGTATAATATGTATGTATATACAAAAAAAATATCAAAGTATTTATATAAGTCGTCTAGTATCCATAACACAAGCTCTGCTTACCGTGGGACTAGATGGCACTGTGTTATTTGTCCAAGGTTATTTATTTAAATACATTTTGAAACGTGTAAAGTATTTTTATTTATTTCCATAATACACATAGAACGACGGTAAGTTTAGGCAATAGTGTTCAATTATTAGAACTCTATTAGTATATAAATGTTACATATTGCAAATATTTTTACAACTTTATAACCATTAACGACATGCTACGCATGCATTTTGCCTTTATTTTTATTCTAACTAACAGAAAACTATATACCTTGCTATAAAATCTTGTTAACTGTAGCGAGCAGCATGTTTCTTGTTTTTTATTGACAGCTTGATAAAGTCAACATCTATTGTTAAACAAGAAAATATTTTTATACCACCTAGAAAATAGAGATAAGTTATGTCTATTTTCTTTAGATTAACAATATTCTATGACCGTCTGCGTGATTACAATATATATATATATATATATATATGACTTTACCTGTCTAAAATATTAAGATCCGTTAAGCTGTTTAATTGTAAAACGGTGACAAAGAAACTAATAGACACATTTGTAATTAGTATGGATTCTTGAAACTAGTATGAAATATTTTAAAATAAATATTGAAATGATCGAACTTAGAAAAATTGAAGGAATTTTATTTTATTGTTAGTTGTACAATTCATCATACTTAAAAAAAATATCGTTTCTGTTTCAATAAAACGATTTTGTAATAAAAACAAAAAGCTCAGTAGCAACCGTATCTAATTGATTATTTGCCTACGTTAAGAAAATATTATTAAATATGAATTTGATTTCATACTTCGACTAAATGTGTGCGCAAACCCTAAATGGCTATTTGTGTATGTTAAATATATTTAATGCGCGGAAGCCTTATAATTAATGTTTGGCAAGCAGGCCCAAACGGAATTTCATACGACATCCGAAGCGCGTATCACGCACTTTTGTTTGTCGATACAAATTTAATTATGATCTCATAATCTACAGGTATAGAACTCAAGGAACGATGTAACATGACAGTTAATATTTTATGTTTATTTTACGTGATATAAAAGGGATGAGTTTATTGTTTATGGATTATTGGACATTAACGCTTTTAAATGTTGTACTGGCTGTAAAAAACAAGGACAATGGAAGGAATGTTTTTTTAATTAATTGGAATGGTAGAAAATCAGACGGTGTAGGCCGTCTGATTTTTTACCATTCCAATTAATTTCAATTAAAATAATGTTTTTTTCATTCCAATTATATTCCATGTTATTCCATTCCCATTAAATTAATGTTGTCTTGTGACACCCATGATTTCGTGAATATATTGCTATTTCTGAAAACTAAATTTACGGCCCCGTCTATGTAACTTCAAACTGAAACATAGCTTTCAAAGTGAAAACGCGGAAATAAAGAAAATAAAAGAGATATGATAATATTTTAAATAAAGAAGCAATTTAAAATTTCCATTAGGTACAATATACATTTTTTTTGTTACCAGAAGATCACAAGAAATTAATCCAAATTTCATCGAATTTCAATACAACAATTGAACACTCAAAAGTGATACTCGTGTAGTCCCAAAGCTCTCACTAACAATTGTAAGCTCTAATAATCTCAACGCTTGTATCCATCGGTCGGGTACTTTTGTGCTAAAAGTCTGTAATACTGCCATTGTGTACGATATTTTTATAGATTAACTACCTAATTCTGACGATTTTATCTGCTTGGAGTCCATTATCTGCGTTCTTATGGGATTTTCGGCAAATCTCAAGTCAGCGCTTCGCTTGTATTATATTATAACATAATACATGGTATCAATGTACAAAATTGTTTTACTTAATCCAACAATTATTATTTTAGATTTATCAGTCAGTCAATGTAAGTCTTTATACATGGATTTTTTTATGTAATTGTAATTGTTTTATACTATAAGTCGCCGCCGCTATCTGTTCGCTTGTATATTTTAAATTACGCAACGGATTTTAATGCAGTTTTCAGCAATAGATGTAATGATTCAAGAGGAAGGTTTACATGTATAATACATGTGTATTATAATATAGAACGATATGAGGAATTCAAAGTTTTGTAATGCATACGTGCAAAGCCGAGACGGGTCGCTATTATCCTATAATTTTACTACCTTATGCCTAGGCACAGTTCACAAACCAAGCTGAAATAGGTAAGACTGAGGTATAGCTAATAGCTATGCAGACAACGTTTTACAAAGTCTACCCTGGTAACTATATCTCAATTTTATCACTGCCACCACAGGAAGGTACAATACACCAAATTGTAATGACCACCAAGTCATAAGTTGTTGTGTGACAACTATGGTCCTGTTTTCTATGTTTTTCTATATCACTAAAATAATCAAAATTTTATGGTACCTCCAATTAAAATAACAATGGCACTGAATGAAAATTTTCATAGTGATTTTTAATTATTAATAATTATATATTTTTGTTATCTTAATGATAAAAAAAAAGAAAGAAAATATTCCATTCTTTTTCAATCATTTTAAACAGTATTTTTTTATGTTATTTAGAAGACATTTAATTTTATTATTAATTATTTATATAATATATACATACACTAATATAGTGTAATAAAATTTGCCTCTGATTTCATTTAAACTAGTTTTATTTGTTATGGCAATATTTATAAAAAATAAAGTATAATGGTTATTAGAAATAATGTTTCTGTATTAATTATATAAAATATTAATATTTTTCATATAGCGGAAAAATAGAAAGTTTTGAAACGAGATAAACTTCATAAGAACTTCTATAAAACTGACTTCTAATTAGTATCTCAACTATGCAACTATTTAAATAATTAAAAATCCAGCGTTTGATAACATTTCCTAACTTTAATCCCTCATGCGCCTTTATCTAACATTTTAACTTAAACTTCACTGACCTTAAATTTAGGGCCTGCCCTTAGAGGCCGTTTAGCACAAAGAAACTGGCGAGCTGTTTCAATTTGTGCGAGCTAATGTATAATTCACGCTATTTACCTAAGTTCCCAATGCTGTGGGCAACTCCACAGCTGACACCGTCAAAACTTAATACTTCAAATTACCTGTAAGAATTTAATCCGATTTGTCACCGCAAGCATGAAAAAACTCACTGAGAAAGAATAACTCACAAGTCCATAATCTAAGTCACAAGTCGTCTTTTCTCACAAACTTTCAAATTTGAATTTCGAATCACATGTTCGGAGTTGCGCGGCGCCGTGTGGGGCGGGCGGACGACCGCCCGTAGACACTGAAAGTAACTGACTGAATACTGTACTGAAAGCATCGCCACTGACGTTTTTTCAATGCTGAAGTTTTTATTTGTATTAAAACGAAATATTTAAACGGGTATGGCTATAAAAAAATATACATTTTTAGTTTTTAAGAATGCAAGCTTTGTATTGAGTTTATTAACCTCACTGCACTTATTGTCAAATTTATAAAATAACTTATATATTCCAAAAGATGGACATAATATTTATAGAAGTATTGTGTATTTTAAAATATTCAAATTGGCTAGGGTTCAAAATTGTTTCAGGTATATAGTAAGTAGGTATTATTTCGTTTCAATTTTTTTGGCAATTGGTCGCCTAACAATAAATGACTCAACAATCTCATAAAATACTCTATGGTAAAAATACAAAGAGAATTAATAATCCATAAATTCTCCCAAAAACGAAATCTAACATGATTGCGAGTAGTTAATGCCACAGGACAATTAGTACATAATTAAGTTATTACATTAGAATTTTTTGCTATTTTTAATAAAAATATGTGATTAGTTACGGTATGTACCACATGGCCATTAAACTTAAACTATCCGACTCTTGAAAAAGAAAACTAATATTTCTTAAAGCTCTGTAGAGGATAATCTTCAGAAACAATGCATTGTGCATTCTAAGAACAAACACATACATCATTAGGAACCTTATGCTTACCGCTACTTATGTGAGTCACAATCTGTTTGTAATCTTCTTACCGCTTATATACTTGCATATAGGCAATGGTTACCATTTTACATCAAATGGACCGTCAGATTATTTACCAATCTACTCAAGTAAACAAAATTAGAGAATTAGAATAAAATTAAAAAAAATAGATGCATTCATTTCATTATTATTGAATTGAGAACGGCCAATAGCCAAAGTCTTAATAAAATAAATTATAAAAAATATGTGTGACATTTATTACTTCTAATTCTTAGAGAGACAGTTTTGAGTGAATGTTTTGTAGGTGGTTTTATAATATTTAATTTGCAATTGGCACGTGGTAAGTAGTAAACCACTTATTTCTTTAAATATGTATGTATGTAACAAAATCAGGAAAGTAGTCAATAGTATGTACCTGGACGCATATATTACCATGTTCGATACGAATTATTAATACTCATTAACAAAACAAGATTAAGTATATAAATTTGAATAGAAATAATTGAACAATAACATATTTAACACATTTTCTAAGTATTCAATTTGTCAGGCGTAAGTGACAACTTTTTTATTTGAATTTTTGAGTTTAAAGTAACCCCCCGTGACAGTGAATATTATTTTGTTTCTAGAAGTAAAAAGTATCTGCATAGTTTTTAATTTATTATTAATTAATTGCTTATTTTCCTAATCTGAAATCGAATCAATAGAGTAGATAAATTATTTCTGTTTTAATGAAATATTTTAGAGAGGCAGCCTTCAAAATAAAAAGACTAAATCAGTGAAGTGAGAGAAAAAACCAAATCAAACTATCCAGTAGGCACCTAAACACTATGTAAATAATATATATAACCTTTATTTTAAAACAATAAATGTATTTTATGCATCTGTAAAATGCATTTATTTCTACATCTAAAAATAAAAGAACTCGATAAAAATTGTAGTTTTAAATGTTAAATGGATTATATCTCTAGGGCCCGTCTTGTTATTCCCACTTGCTGTTTGCAGGTGCTATAAAATTTAGCGTGATCTGAATATATTTCAGTCCCATGTTACTTCTTTAATAAAAATGCTATTTTAAATGTTCCACTGAGGTAATATATTCTATCCTAGAACAATGCAATACAGAATCTAAATATATATAACTCAAAGGTGACTGACATAGTGATCTATCAACGCACAGCCCAAACCACTGGACGGCTCGGGCTGTAATTTGACATGCCGGTAGATGTTATGACGTAGGCATCCGCTAAGAAAGGATTTTGATTAATTCTACCCCCAAGGGGATAAAATAGGGGATGAAACGTTATATTAAACTTTGTCAATTTTAAACCGATCGGGCTGAGATTTTGCATGCATAAAGCTACTATGACGTAGGCATCCCCTAAGAAAGGATTTTGATAAAGTCCACCCCTAAAGGGATAAATTAACGCGAGTGAAGCCGCGAGCAAGTAATTAATATTGGTAAAAGTATTTATAAATTACTATTAACATCATATATCGACAATGGATATCAACTTCTAATTTAAAACTAAAATAGCAATTAGGTATCCTATAATAAAATTCAAAATCCATCAATTTAGTAAAATATACCAATGCAATGATGAATTGATGACCTATTTCTGTCAGTCATTCAGCGTTTAATTTCCTCAGGTATTCACGAATAGAGTTAATGTTGTTTCGAAGTGAAATACGTATATTCTATAATAGTTCTTTTACATTACAGCTATTTATGACTCAATACTGTATTCAAATTATAATTGTAAGCTCTTTATTTACACATACTGTTATTATACTCAAATTGGTGTAGATATATATAAAATTTTAAGTGTCTCTGTGTATTTTCAAATTAACAACTTTTCACTAAATGCGTGTGAAACTATATACGGAACTTAGATCCAAAACTTAATTTAAAAATGTTTTTGGCCGTCTTCCTGTTTATTCTTGCTAATCTCTGAAACGGCGCGACTTATTGTTCTTTGATAATGGTGAGACTTTCACTCCAAGATAGCTAATATTATAGAGAGTTACTTATATTACTTTTATTTTAAATTTATTTTTATTTTAGTAAAAAAAAAATATTCCACGCGTACGGACCCTCTAAAATTTGTGTCATATTGTTTATTATTATACGGACATCATAAAACAGTAAATTTATAATAATTTAATTTGATAATAGAGTATGTATTGGTAAATATTATCTGCTAATGCTTATATATTACTTAAATTCGCAAAAATTCCATGTGAATCGACGGAGCTAATTACTAGATGCAATTTGACACTTCTATCTTGTATTAGTAATTTTATTAATAAGATTTTTTGTATTATGGTGATAAAAAAATGTTCATAGAACCGTAATCCTTGTACATCGCGTATAATGGGTTGGTATTTACTCATATCCTCTGAAACAATCAAAATTACATAGGTACTGGTTTGTTTCGGTGTGTCCTCCATCAGAACGCATACGAAATGAGTCTCCATGCAAAACTACAATGGTCACGGTCTCCACGCATCATTTATTCAAATTATGTCCGAAACAAACAGGGAGAGCCGCAAAGAAATGAATTAGTGCCTTTAAGTCATATCGTACATTACGATGCTCATCAATACGACCGATATATACTTTATACAAAGTAGTAACTTAATTCCAGCCGCCGAGCAGATTTTTTTTGTATAATTAATAATAATAATACTGTCCCTCGACAATTCACACAGCGCCATCTAGTCCCATGTTAATCAGACCTTGTGTTATTTCAGTACTAAACAGCTGATAAATATACTTACATATTTTTTGTAAATACATACATGATATACATAGAAAACACTCAGACATTCAGATAAATTTGTGACATGCTAGGAATCGAACCCGCAACCACTGGAAGTAAAGCGGTATGCTAAAACGCTAGACCGTCGAAGCCGTCAATTGAATTGGCAAACAAGCTGAGAGATCTTACAGTATATATGTTAACAGTACTACTCATATCACGTTATAATGCTACACCTGTGATACCATACGTTCCAAACTAGACGACTAAGATTTCATGCTTCGTATCCTGTAATTTCATTTCCTAATCGCACCCTACAACTGAAACACAACTTACAAAGGTGCCGTTCGTGACTAAGACATAGAAATACTGTCGCCTATAAATATCATAATGTGTGAGGGACTTAACAAATTAAAATGTCAACGCAACGCAATTTGTACGGTTAATGTTGTATAGATATTATTCACTTAACTCAAATAGCGGAAACATTCGTGTTTCCAACAAATTGTGGAATGGTCTTCACTTTTCCACATATGTAATTTAAACTTTAGTCTAAAAAACAAATGTTATATTATATAAATATATATATATATATATATATCTAAAGTATATAAAAATTATACTAAAAACAGAATATAGTGATATTTGTCAACTTGTGTTATGTGTGTGTAATAATATACGAAAGTAGACTTCGCCACTACTGTACCGATTTGAGAAATTCCTTCACTGTCTGAAAGGCAAGTACATTATTTCTGAGTGGCCACATAAGCTGCATATTATATTCAAAACTCACAAAGTTATGAACACTGAAAGCCAAGGCAGACCACTAGTTTAGTATAAATTTATTTATTGTATGAATATGTGTTATTTATAACTAATTGTTATATATAAATAAAACATTATTGTAAATACGAATGCTGATGTAATGCTGAACTTTATTATTTTTGTCTCATTTTCACAACTTTTGCTGGTTTTTTACACTTTGTGGCGTATACTACTATTATTATTATACTTCTCTTTTCTGTAACACTGACTGTATACTGTATCACAATCTTACTAACAATATACCTAATGACAGAATTTTTAAAGTGTCCATGGATATTTGTTACTGTGAATATTGAATGGATTTTATGAATCTTTAAAATACATCAGAATAACACACAGACTATAAATTTCACAGCTTTTTTTTAAATAAATTTGTCCATATACCTATGTGTTAAGGAAATAAAAAAAATTGGTGTCAATAAATAACTACAATATTCTATCAAATCTACTATAAGCTGATGTTGGATAAACCACAGTTATAAGATATATCAATGTTTTCAGATATATTTCAAGCGCCTGAAAAATTGAGTATGAGGCGAGCCAGATAAACAATTGTTTTATTGCTAACATTTCACTGAGACTGTTATGTGCTATATATGCAGTTGTTTCGCGTGGACATTGGATTTGATACAAAGGTTTGAAGTATATTGTATTTATATCTTTATATAACTTTAATACACGTAATATAATACGTAATAGCACATTTGGCGGGCTTAACACCAAATGGTATTTTTTACCAGTCAACCATAGTTAACTAGTAGTTAAAGTTTAGAACTTGAATTCTATTTCTTAATATTACACACCTTCATGACTATTATCTCAGAAAGGGTAGTCAGAGGTATTATCAATGTCGATGTTGTGGTGAACTCAACACAGGCGTGTCGCCTACTTTTCATTACGGTTATTTTGAACCCAATGTGACAGGAGGCGAGCCTACCACCATCTATCGGATAATGTTTTGTTTTGATATCGTTTTTTCCTTCACTGGACAGACAGTCGGAAATACAAATTTATACACAAAGTTTTTATTTCCCAAGTTCTCTTGGAAAGGTTCAACTCGAGACTCCTTTAAGTTAGGATTGCAAGTTACTAAGCCATAACACATTTTTTAATATTAAAGAAATCAAGTTTCTTGGAAAGACAGCACAAAGTTTCGTTTATAACATTGATTCCAAGAGAAATAATATATATGCTGAAACAATAAAATAATCAGAACGTGCCATTTCAAACAAAGTTTATGTACTTTAGAAACTTAGTAGGTAACGGAAATTAGGAAACTTTCAACAAAATGTTATTGATATTACTGTCTCACTATAAGTACAATTTATATTTAGTAAAGGTCAGAGATCACTCTCAATTATTCATTTAATCCACATCCGCTCTGTTCTCCGGTCCGGTTTTAACCGGAATTCACTGAGTGTTTTAATTTCATATACGATGTTCAGTTTAAAACTTTTTCTGTAACCTAACATACATAAATATAATAGTTTCGTAGAAATCGATCCAAACCTTTTTAAATGGAAACATGGTTTAAAAAAAACTGAACACAAAAAACCGAGTTTTAGTTAAAACAACATACATTAGATATGTCTATTTTAATACTCTATTAGTCTATTACTTACTATATAAGTTCTAATATGTCGATTTATATATTACTATAAGTACTTACGACCTTTATATTTATACTATAGGCGCTTAGTAAGTTTTCATGTACATGATGGTTTATTTAATTAATTCTAATACTATTTCAGATAAACACTTCAGTGTAAATACTGTAGATTTTGAACAGAAAAATTAATGTTTATTTCCATAAATCTTCAATAATAATTTTATATGTATAAAAATGATTCTTTTATAATGTAAATTCAAGAAACCTACTAGATAACAAAATAAAACAAACCCTATAACCAGAGTAGACCGGACCCTACATATTATATATATATATAGTACCCATTAACATATAACACTAATTTTAGTAGGTACCACAGATAATATAATATTACATGGTAGGTACTAAGTACAAAACAGCTAGGAATATGTATTATATTGTTTATGATTATTTGTTGCCATATGTAAGAAGTATTTTCGGACTTGGTATCTTTAATAATAAGATATGGCACCGGGAAAGTCTTTTCGAAAATAGAAAGTTTATTCTCGCCGACATTCTATCTGTTCAATCTGTAAGTAAAATTAGTAGCCATAATCAAACTCGAAATGTTGGAAATTCCTTGCTCAGTTTAATTTTAAACGTTAAATTCATTTATAAGAATGTTAAGAATTCACCGAATCATTCTATGGTGTTTTTAAAACTTTATGTTTATAATCACAAAGCCACAGATAATTCATTATAGTTTTAATTAGATTATGACGTACACTATGAATTTAACTTATACTAGTGTATTATATATTTTCATTTTAATACATTGAAAAACGAAATCAGTATTTTTTATTAATTATCATCAATATAATATTTTTTAAAAAGAATTATAATAATAATAAAATAAATTTTAAACAATAATAATATTTTAATAAAAACTAGCTGATCCGCGAAATTTCTTTTGAGCAAATAAATTATTATTATTATTATTCATCTGCATTACACTTACTTGACATTTATTATCTTCGCCCGATTCACATGATATCTTTTTAAATTATAGGCAGTATGTTATACTGATGTATGCACTATATTATTTCAAAATCCGTTCTGTAATTTTTGCGTAAAAGAGTAGGTAACAAATCAAATCCATTCGTACTCATAAACTTTCACGTTTATAATATTAGTCAGATTTATGTTCTAATTTGTGTAAATAGCAAAGTGTATCAATAACTGTTTGATACTTTTTATGTAAAAACGGCTGAACAGATCGTAATTAAGTTTAACATGAAGCAAGATTGTATCACGAAAACAAAATCTTATATAATATTATATTTTATCGAGATAAAAGCAGCTCAAATAACGCGTAACACTTAGTTATCTATAAATAATCATTTTCATGTAAACTTTCATGAAAATAGAACTCTCTCCACTAAAGTTAGGGCGATGACTTACACATATTTAATAATTGCAGTTATATTTTTAACATTAACTACTTTACCTTATTACTCCTTGTCGATTAGTAATACCATCAAATCCTTTCTTAGTGGATTCCTGCACAGTAAGAGGACCAAAATTAATTTCATTTTTGTTCACTTAAAATTTCAAATTAGTTACATCAGAGTGCGTTGGTTGATCAATCCATTAGGATTATTACTCACCGCCACACCTACAACTTATTGAAATCTAAAAATGTTTCTTCAACGTGATTTATCAAAATTCATTTCACAGAGATCTTAATTCTTCCTTGCCGATTGATATTTGACAGATCTTTTAGACTTATTCAAATCAACAACTTCTTTAAAGAAATGTATTAAAATTCTAACCGCCTTTGGAGCTCGGTAATATTTTATGTTGATCATAAAAGCTAAGATATTGCCATTTAAATTGAATTACAGGCTGAATCTGAAACGTTAGTCAATTTAGGACAGCGAACTCTATACCGGAATAATTTCCAAGCTTTATTAGGCCAGCGCTACATTCAGCGATTCATCTGTCGCAGCACTTCCGCCGCGGAACTGAATCTTGCTTTCCAAGTATCTTCTCGTGATCACACTCACTGTAATCATACAAACTTACTTTTTTTATATACTTGTTATTTTTACTTTCTTGTGTTAATATTATTTATATATTCTGAATTATTCTGTCCACATATACGCAATCACACATGATAAAAAGCTCGATAATTTAACGCAATTGCAATAAATTCTTATTTGATTGGAATTAATTGAAATTAAAATCTTATATTTATAAATTAACACATAGAATATTTATAACGCTATTCGCGTTTATTATGTTATATATGCGGGCGAAGCCGAGGTTTGTAACTAGTAAAATGATTATAATAATTTCATTGAATATTAAATTCTCGTGTCGGTTGTTAGTTACCATACACGGCTCCACCGCTATTTATGAAATTTGATATGCATGTACAGTAGGTCTGAGAATCGGCTACTATCTATTTTTCATAACCCTCAGTGATAAGGGATATCCAAACCAAATTTTTTTTTATATTAATGGACAACTTTTTTATTTTTTTTATAATGTGGCATTAAAAAATACTTACAACCCTAAATTTTCACCATTCGCTATTTTTTAATAGCGTTTTAATTTATATAGCTAAAAGTTTGCATTCACTGGCACGGTCTAACTTGCATCATTTGAATGTTATGTAATGTAAAGGACATTACATAACATTCAAATGTTGCAGATGGACGGCCGCTGCTAGCTTTTAGAAAGTAACTCTTCTAAATCAACTCAGAAAAGTTACTTCCTCGTTTTGTTCCCAAGCGCCGTCGCCGCACTGTCTGAATTGTTGAAGTATAGTATTCTTAGTCAGTGTTACTATCTTAGTCTTTTTACCACTAAAACTGGTGGATTTACAAATCCACCTCATTGGTAAGCAAATATTGCGCACGCAAAGATATTTTGAATTTGAATGCGAAATATAGTAATAAAATTAATCGAGAACATGTAGAAAATTATATTTACTATGAGGCTATATCTTACTCCATTTTTAAAAGTATCAGTTATAACTATTTTGATACATCACTCAATTTTTCCGATAATATTTTGAGTTTTGTATGGTTATTATTGAAACTGTATTGTTAAATTTATATCAAGCCATTGTTAATAGAAGATAATAAAATTTTATATTTAGAGAGAGTTTTTTGTCTATTATTTGTTCATGAAATTTTCGCTGTTATCATGTTGTGAGTGTTTTACCTTTTACCAATTATATACATATTATACTTTTGTATATCAATATGTTTATTTTATATACCTAGTTATATTGTATTTGTATATGTATTTACAGAAGCTAAAGAATGATTTATTTTTAGCACACTTTTTTAACATTACCTATTATAAACGTTCTTTTTTAAATAAGCGTTGTCCTTTTATTCAATTTATAATTTAGTAGTTTCATTAACATGCGTTTCAAATGTATGAAATTTCTAGTGATTTCTAGTGATCTGACTAAAGTGGGCTCTCCCAATCATTGTTGGCAACATTACTCTTAGCTGTTCCATTCGAGTATATTTAGGTTTAGACATATTCCGTTATTGTAGGTATATTTTTATTTAGATCTAGTTTCTGTGGCGCTTTTGTCTATTGTCTAAGTTTAGATTTTATTTCTAAACTGCCTGCAACTTCGTGGGAGTATCCACTTATAGACGCCAACTATTGACCACAATACAACTTCAACAAAATACATCAATTTTATTTATTTATCCTCAGAAATGTGAAACTAAAGTGTCAGTTTATAGTTCGATATATAAAACGGTATAATAATTTTATATCCGTTTTTATTTTTGACAAAGGCTAGATCGCCATGTAACGGATAACGTTGGGAGGAGAAATGACTGTTGAATTAATGAATACTTACACCACAATGATATCAAATATATTATTATTAAACTATAAAATTGCATCGCATAAACTTATTATACAAGTTATTGTGAGTAGCTAGTACCTTTCAATTATAACTGAGGCTCGACAACAGTTGAATTTAAACTTCAATTAGTTCCCTAAGTGCTCTCCAGCCTGTTCAGAATAATAAGTAAGTTTACAGCGAAAGTATCATGTCGTCTATAATATAAAATTAATAGTACTTACTTCGAAATTAATAGTAATAAAGCGTTGATTACAATCGCACTGAGATATTATTAATGTCGTTTGAAATACAGCATTCAATCCAGCCTGCTGAAATACTCTTTGAATACAACCTTGATGAACTTATGTAGGTACTGTATTAATATTTACAAGTATTTACCTACATAATTAAAATTAAGAAAATACTTAAATTATTAAATTAATTAATAATTAATTATTAACTTAAATACTATTAAAATTAGACCAAACTGTTTCAGATTCAAATAATATAACAAAATAGTAAAAATATTATAAAATTCATTGTATTCTAACTAATGACAAAGGATATGTAAAATACGCATTATTATTTAATTTAATTAAAATGGCAAACAAGATGATTAATTATTATTTTAGTATGATGTATTTGGTGATAGCATGTTTTTGTCCTTTACGACAATTATTTCAAGTTGATCCGACAGTCTTCTTCAGGGTGAGTAAGTTCATCAATATACTTACTGTTTCCTTCCGTTAATTTAATTCCCAACATATGAGAAGTTATAGAAATATTCGTGAAAGATTGAAGATAAGTATGATAAACAGTACATTGTAGGAAATACTTAAAATCGATAAAGTGTTCAACTAAAATATGGCAGAAAATTATTAAGTGGCATATAATATTTTTTATGGTAAACATGTCGTATTTATGATGTAGTCAGTAATGATATTTTAAAAATAATGATATCATTTAATATATAAAAATGTCGTGGGTTAGCAGTTTATAACGTCGACTGACGTGGTCGTGATTTCGAACATTGTTAAAACCTAAAATTGTGTTCAAAATACAAGTAAATATACAAAATAAATTGTAGGTTAGGGAAACATCGATTACAAATTAGGTACTAATTAATAACAAATAAATAAAACTACTTTTGTTTTTGTTTTTATTGACTGATAATTGTATCATGCACCCGCCTGTGTACGATGACCGTTTGCTGTGCACCAGTAAAGGTTGGTTGATCATAGTATGTAATATTATGTTATCTGTGATCATAGACTACTACGGTTTGTAGAGCGTATCGTATGGTCGACCTAATATTCTATGCAGAGATTCATACTTATTATTAATATAATGCCCCTCCCTCCAACCATCATCATCATCATCATCATCGCAGCCCGGAAGACGTCCACTGCTGGACATAGGCCTCCCCCAAAGATCTCCACGACGATCGGTCCTGCGCTGCTCGCATCCAATGCCTTCCCGCGATCTTGACCAGATCGTCGGTCCACCTTGCTGGAGGCCTTCCCACGCTGCGTCTTCCGGTCCGTGGTCGCCACTCGAGGACTTTACTGCCCCAACGGCCATCTGTCCTACGAGCTATGTGCCCTGCCTATTGCCACTTCAAAGTCGCAATTCTTCGGGCTATGTCGGTCACTCTGGTTCTTCTGCGGATCTCCTCATTTCTGATTCGATCACGCAGAGAAACTCCGAGCATAGCCCTCTCCATTGCCCTCTGAGTGACTCTGAGCTTGTTGATGGAGCCCATAGTTAGCGACCACTTCTCTGTTCCGTAAGTCATCACTGGCAACACACATTGGTCGTAAACCCTCCAACCATGTTGGATTCAAAATATTCAATAATAATAAAGAATCTGTAGCGCTTATTGTTTGGGCGGGAAAAATAAAACAGACTGCTTCTGCAATCAGTATTGTTCTATTTTTAATATTACCATTATTTGCACACAGGATAATAACATTCTGCTTGGCATGTTTCCTGGCATTCGCGGTATGTTGCGGCATCATTCTAGCAATCGCGGCGGGCATTGCCTATGGATACAATTACTCTATGGCGGAATTCCTCACATTCACAAGTTCGTAATCACAATTCGACATACACTTACTTAATTTAAAATAAGGAGTGTAAACGAAGTCGCGGGTAATAACTAGTATATAATATCTTTTGTACAGGATCCGATGTCGCAGTATACATGCGTCGCGGTCAATTTCACGATTCACCGGATATACCACCCAAAAGCCTAAGAGTTGGAGATGAAGAAAATTGTTAGTTTAGCTTAATACCTGTAAATTTAATACATGTTTAATACATCGATATGTTATCAAATCATACTATCACTATCGTTAGGATTTCTCCACAACGAGCGACGAACTAACAATCTCTCTTTCTGAGGGAAAGGGGAATATATACATGTTACATATGTGGACTAAAGACTCCATTGTTAGCAATGTACTATGTCAGATTGACCTAAACGCGGTGTCTCCAAGAAACCATCGCCTTGAATTTCTGGTGATATTTATCATGGTAGGCTAACTGACCTTACCTCCTGTTCATGTCATTATCTTCCACTGGTGCTCTGCCATCATAAACCGTTAGCGCATGCAGGTGTACCATTCCATTATCAATTAAACTACTGACACAGACTAGTCGTGAAGTAAATATTTTATTTACCATAAATATATTCGTGTTAAAATCCGATTAAGTAAATTAATAATGTATGTGTTAAAACGAAAGTCTAATCTAATAACTTTATATATATAGTCATATTTCTTCAATTATAGTAGCATTCTCCACAATAACTGACTATGAAGAAAAACAGTCTCCGAGCCCTGATTTTAATGTTTTCTCTGAAATGGCGTCGGTGAAAGATCAGGACGCCAGAAAATACGCGGAGCAACTCACAAAATACACCAGCAAGTCTAACGTATGGTCTACTCATGCGTCAGAGGTATCATATTTATACTATTATTATTTATACTTTCATTAATCTACATCGTAAGCATTTGTAACCATCACTTTAGAACGTATGCCGAAATCGACAAATTCTTTTTTTTGAGTTTGTAAGAACGATCCCATTAAAAAGAAAAAAAAATGGATCCTCATATATCCCCACATATAACAATATATTAACGTAATTGACTTGTTAATTTTTTTTACATCAGTCTATTTTATTTACTAGGGCGTGCGAAGTCGAAGTGGGCGACTAGTACGTATTCGTTAGTAAAGAGAACATTATTAGACCTAGTAAATTAACTACGTTACTAACGTTCTTAGTTACACTACATTAGAATATAGTTTTATAAATAATATATCTCTTAAGAAGAGTTAACTTATAGTATACTATTTTTTGCCATACAGTGGTGTTTCTTTTGAATAAGTCTGTCCTTACATATTACGAGTACTAGTTCTCACATCCTACCCTTGTAATCCATAGTCTTATTAATCTGGGTAAGGTATTGGTCAATTCACGTAGATATTTCTGCCGAGCAGATGCCGTACTTGGTAAAGCTGAAATGTAACTTTTCCGGCCCATAAAAGGTCGTACACGAAAATCAGAGTCCGCCAAGGGACTTACTTGCATAAACTACTACAATTTGGTCACATACGTCCTTTACATAAAGACGTATGTGACAAAATTTTGTTACAGTTCTCGCTATATTTTCACAGATACCAGCAACACCAATAGACTATCAAAAGCCGTATTCTACACATATTTTAACTCGCATTTCTATCACACCGAACCCTCGATTTTCGACAACTGTGTTAAGAAGCGGGAATTCTGAAATAGTTATGCGCAATTTTGAACCGATTGACATCGCCGTAAAGTCTACTATTAAAACCACTGAAGACTACTTTTATAGAGCACCTGATTTTGATGAAAAGAAGAAATTGAATTCAATAACGACGACATTGGAGATTCCTGATATAAATGTCCGTTTCGAGAATAGTTCAGGAAGGTAAATTTGTTTCTTTAATCGTATATACAAAGTACTTCAACTATTTTCAGTTTAAGAGTCAAACTATAATCCCATTTGTACAATTACAAAGAATGACATATAGATAAACAGGAGGCATAGACTACTGTTGAGTTTAACTTTATAGAAATATAGAGTAAGCAAGGAATATTTTATTTTGTGGTGACATTATTGTAAGTAGCTTTGACGTAGTCTAGTGTTTTGAGTAGTTATGCTCACTAAAATGTCCAGACTTGTGGCGGCGTGGTGGGCCGGGTCATTGGGCTCCCTAAAATATGGTCGAGCGCAATGATGGCTGGCTCATCCGTCATACTCGTTAACGGGTGCTGCTTGTAGGGACTGGTCTGCTCTAATCACTTTGACTGATTTCCTCTTATTAATTGTTTAACCAGTTGATTATATATTCAATATTTTTTCTATTTGAGTATTTAATTGAATTAGTGCTAATTGGTGGTTTGTATTCACACACTTAAACTTAAAAATGTAAAGTAACAAGGATTATTTAAAAGAGCAACACACAAGTTTCTTGCTCGTTCTTCTTGTGATGAGACAGCTTTCCGAACGAGCGGTAGATTAAAAAATGAAATGACTATTCAAAAGTGCTTCAATGTAAGTTTATTTGAATAAATGATTTTCTATTCTATTTTATTCTATTCTATTTTTTTCATTTTATTTCATACTTTCTTTTATAACCATAGAGTATACAATTACTCTATGGTTATAAAAAGAAAGTGTGAACTTCCTTCTTCTCTGTGTAAATATAATGGTAAAACGTGGGCTGCAGTGTATAAGGGAAAAAGAAAGAACTCAAATATTAATCTATATTTTAATAAACCTAAATATTACAACCAAAATTACATTCTTACGCGTACGTATGTTTAGATATCAGAAGTTTATGTCGGTCATTGAACTTATCAACTCAACTTCTTACCTTATTTCTATTTCTGAAGCATTTTTTTTATATCTGGACTAGACAAAAAGTATATTAAAGTATATTTTAACCCATGACCTATGCGTGACCATTCCTGAGTACTTTGTAATATCTCATCCTGACTGCAGAGTTAAATGTAACAGAGGATTCTAGACGATTCTCCAGACGACAGTCTCCCTCTGGTAATCGTTAAAGCTATTATACTAATCAGAAAATGTACTTCCAGGAAAACCATACCGATGCGCCACTGGGGAAACGACGCTAAACCTATCGTTGAAGATTACCCTAAAGATATAGACGAGGACGCTGTTGTCTACAGGCCCTGAGCCCTCAATACTGATTTAAGTGATTAACAGACATGTGCCATTCAAATTCACATTTAATACTAAAGATATAGAATAACATTCTCCGATTTTAAAATGAAAAAAGTTTTTATATATAAAACTTTAAAATAAATAATATTGAATGTTGTATTAAAGGACTATTGATAAAACTTTCCTTTAGCCTTACAATATAATAGAATTTATATCCTAGAAATGACATAACTTTTTTGATTAAGCGATAAGTATCACGCAAATAAAATCTAATTTCACCGAAATGCCTACTCATTTTAGACTATTCTAGCCTAGTTCTAGTTTTGTAAAGATTTTCTTTGTTGTGTTTATGTTCTATCAAAACAAAGTACAAAGTTTCATTTGTAGTACAAAATTTTGTAACATTGATGTAAAGCTATTTAAATTAACCCCAAAAGCTTATGTCGCTCATGTGTCAATTACTGTCACTTGAACTTCTCTACTAGCGATGTCGTTTGTGCTTTATCTAGCAGACTATATTATAGGGGAGCCAAATGTTAAATCAGAAACAACTAAATCAAAAGACAAAGAAACTTTCTTTGAATTTTAATTTAGTTGTCTATCCAATACAAAATGTTTTGTTTTAACAAAAACATTTCATCGTGGCCGCTTCCCGTCAATTTGTATTTTCTGATGTACGCAGGTGATGGTTACCACATACCATCAGGGTAGTAAGGTTGTTGACCATTCTATTCTTATAAATAAAATCCCTTGAAAGAAAAAGTGGGAGGTATCTTAAAATGAACATTTGTATTTATAAGGCAATTTGTTTGAAAGACCACCCTAACTTAATATACGTCTTGTGTTTTTGGGACTAAGATAAAATAGTAGTCGTAAAAGGAATGGCCAAGTACTGTGCGGATAATCAATAGCCATACGGTTTAGGTTTGTATTACCACAGATAACATAATATGGTATTACTGATTATTCAAAGTTGCTAGCATGAATACCTCTGTTTTACTTATTTCTGCCGCTAAGTATCTTTTTCTAATTTGCACAGTAATAAATTATGCTTAACAAAGTCAAAGGTATTTTTCTATCCACGTTCGTAGTAAATTGTTGAACTAGTCTAAAAGTAGCTAGCGTAGGGGACTTGTATTTCTGAAATTCATTTAGTTCATTTACTATTTGACGGTGATCGTAATCGGTGATCTATTCATGAGTATGATTATTTATATCGGTCTGGATGTTCGTAATATAGATATATTATGTACGCATTTATAAAAAATAAGTATCTATTTATTTGTATCAGTTATCTAGTACCCATAACACATGCTTTAGCTTAACTTGGGTCTAAATTGGTGGTCTTGGGTGTGAATTGTCCTGAAATTATTATTATTATTATGTTATTTTTTCCAGAAAACAGTAAATTCTTCTTAAATCACTCTGAGCTGGTTTGAAGGCCAGATAATATAGAGTATGGGGTCATGACGGCTTAGTTTCCAGGAAAGCGTAAGGTATATCACGTGATGACATCACGTCATTGATCATATATGTACGACGGAGATTCTTTGCCATTACAGTTGCATAAAAAACCAATGAAACATGCACCTTATACCTATATCAAAAGTAATATAAGGGACTACTCTGTCTATTATCTTGGTCTACGCTTTACTTCTACGCAATGTCTACGTAAAGGTATACCAAGGCAAAAGACAAGGTAGAATACTAATGTAACTGGACCTATTCACAATGAAACACTGGAAATCTAAAACTAAATTTTCATCTTTTCTTATCGATCACGAGACCGCATTGTGCGCCCTTTATAACTATCCATGTATACAGAAATAAATTCATTTTACATATACATACTTAATCATTACAGTATTTATATAAATACAGTTTTATTTAGGTATATCATTCTACCTACTGTTATTGCAGAAAACAAAAATCTATTTATGTCTACGTTATCTTGAACCGTATCTTCAAGAAGCAAATTTGACGCTGCAGGCGATATATTAAAATAGATGCATGCATAATTATTCAAGTAACAAAGTTTCAGTACTAATGTGTTATGAATATTCTCCACTATCCCGTTCAAACAAAACGAGGTATCAAGCGAAAACGTATGTAAACGTTTACTTAGGCCGACAACGTCCGCGCGCCCACGTGTTTGCGCAGCCCAGGTAAAAATAAAAATAAAATAATAGCTCTAATTCGAAACCCTTTCATAATATACAAGCTTCATACTTAATTTTAACTTTATATAATGGAATGGTAAATACTAATTTTGCAAACTTTGCGATTTTGATACAACCCTGCAGGAAAATACAATGAAAATAAAACGACCTCATCGTGTCAAATTAGTATTCTACCAGCAGGGTTGTCTCCCAAATGGTGTAATGTTAGCTATTTAATATTAAAATACCGTAAACATATGAAATATCGATAGTATTTTCAAACCAATATAATATTGAAACCTTCAAGAAAAGAGCTTATATGTTTGTCTTTTCTCTTTATTTTTCGTAGTTTTATGTCTAATTATAAAACTATTTTTATCATTTAGTAACTTGTTTTCTTATAGATCCGAGTCTTTTGTGTTGATTTTAATATATTCTCTATGATTTTCTGCATACTTTAAAGAAAGATCTCTTTTCTCTTTTGTAATATAATCAACTACTCGACACAGAATTTTATTTGGTTCCTTTTTAAAGAATACTGTACACACAACGTCATCTACTACCAAACTAAGCAGAACTTATGTTATAGGATACATTACTGATACACTACACCCAAACAATATTACCAGAGCTCACTGTACCATGGGAAATACTATACTTATATTTAAATATAGTATCTGGCTAATCGGAATTGATAATACATTTCCGAATTTCTAAATTTGTATTTAAGTTTATAGTTAGTTTTAAATATATAGTTTCATAATATATATCTCTGTATTCTAATTCTTTTTATATAGTTTTCTTTTCACCTACACACGTATAAAATAAAACTACAATACTAAAGACTATGCAATAAAAATAAATAAATATTTCGACCTGTTAAACGATTTAACGAAAATGGCTATAGGGTTAATTTACGAGTATATGCCATCGAAGTGGGAGCTAAAGATATACTAGCGAAATCTTTTTGCAATGTTTTAAAAGATCTTGGCCTGTCTAGAACTGCACTGGACTCTAAATAAGAATATGTAAATCTAAAACTGCACTAGCAGGCTCCTACTAAATTTGTCTGGGTAAAGAGAGAAGGTGAGCGGTGAAGTTGAGTATTGATCTACGTCCGCAAAGTGGCCTCTAAAACTTACAACCAGATCGTAAGTGACGGGAATTGCTTGGCAATTCACGGTAAATCCATGAAATGCTTAAAAATTCCTCTCTCCTTGGATTTAACAATAGAAAAGTAGCCAAATTGTAGGATCTATTAGTAACAATAAGTGGTAACAATTAGGTTTATTTACCTAGGTTTAACCATCATTTCCCATCAGATGAGGTTAGACCGCTTGGTCTAATGATGAAATGATGTGAAATGATGTGAGTCTTTTTTAAATAATAATAATGGGTTTGCGCTCGCAAACCCATTAAAAAAAAACTCACATACATATTTATATAACGAGTGTTTGTTACAAACTTATAACTTTATTATATAAAATTATGTATAAAGTTATAAGTTTGTAACAAACAATTATAACGCAGTATTAGTTATTATTTCATACATGTATTTTAAACATATTTTATACGTTCATTAACGTATCTTATTACTAGACATGTAGATATTTCTAAATTTGTGGTTTCTTTTTTTAGTGATTATTTTTTTATTTCTTCTAGAAACAGTATACTTGTTGTTTTGATTTTTTCTTCCCAGATTGGACATTTCAATATTCGAATCATTATCTAACCCAGATGGAAGGTACTGATCGTTTCCAAAGAAACTTTCGCGAAACATTATGCCAGAAAATATATTTTTCTGTCTATGTTTCTTACTATTGACTTTGTCATTATTGTCTTCAATGTCACTTCCATGGCGATTATTTTCCTGGTCATCATTAAAACTCTTTACTTTTTTATTGGGTTCCTCTTCATCATTTTGTTCGACTGAAATTGTTGTATCGTTCTCATATTTTTGATAGTCCCTGTTGTTAGACGAGAATTCATTAAAATTCTTGTCTTCTTCAGCATTATTGTCTTTTTGATTAGCATCTGAAGAGGTCAGTTTGTCTTCATGCTTACTTGCATCACCATTTGTCTTCTCTGGTTGTATAAGACTATCTGTGAAATAAGGCTTTTTTAAAAGACTGTTAGAGAAAAGTTCGCTCGAAAAAAAATCATATTTTTTATTTGATATATCTACAGCACTTTCTTCTTTGCTACTCTGATCTTCATCTCTTGTTTCATTATCTGATTTAATTTCATTTATTTTAATTAGTCTATCACTATTTTCATATTGGCGAATTTTTCCAGCGCTTGTAGGTTTCGTATTGGGTTTTCTTTTTTTATTTCTTGTTTCTCCAATAGCTTTTTTAAATATTCTAGAAAAGTGTTTAATCACACACTTTGGTATCTCGTTAACAAGATATCCTGTTATAAGAGCACGCGAAGCTACTGAGTTTCGATTAACGTGATTCAATTCCATATCTCTGGAAATATTATAATTTGGTTACTATATATACTATATACCTTTTAGATGACTTTAAAAAAGAAACATTTAAATATATGATAGTGAGACATACCTCCAACCCACAATTTCAAATTTGTGCACCGCTTTAGAAGTTACTAATGTTTGAACCATCTTCTTTTCTTTCGGACGAACTTTCTTAACATCTACATTAATTGTAACACGAACACCAACGTCTAACAGTTCAGCAGCAAAATCTTGCTGTCCATTGTCTGCTTCGCTATGTATGTAAAGTTTTCCTCGAACCTGTGAACCATTTATTTTACATCCTACTAGACGATTTGAACCAGCATATATGCAATTCGAAAGAACTTGTGATTGCATTAGGATACTTCTGTATTTTATAATTTAAATACAAAAATGTTTAAAGACAGCGTGATCAAAGTTGGTCATATCGTTAAAAGAGATCATCCAACATAGCATGTTCTGCCGGTAGTCAGTATAATACAAGTAATTAAAATTAAAATAATTTTATAAATATTAACACGTAAAGTGACTTAAACCGTGTAAGTACTGAAATTGATTTTATCTGCCATATTTTTGTCTGTGCCTTTGAATGAGACATTGCAAAAGAAATTACCTGTAGTGAATGGTAGCGAAGCATTTCATCGATTCGCATCGAGTCAAATCTATAGGGACCTCCAATCTGAGCAGAATAAAGGGTCTCCAAGCCCGCCAATGTCACATTTGTCAATAATAAGTGTGTTGTATACTGTTTTCTATTTCTCTGTAAAAATAAGTGACAATGACTAAGTCGAATGAACTATATTACAAGTAATATTTATTTCGTATTATTGCGTAATTTAATATTTAATTACCAATTCATTCCAGTTATACTTCAAGTCATTAATCTGTAAAGAATCTACTCCGTCCTCAACTGTCAACTTGCTAAGTTTATTCACCACTCCTCTTATATATTCATGTGTTTGTTTAAGTACGTTTTCTTGAGCATATCTACGTTAAATATTAATAGTTACTGCTACAATAACAACCTTAGTCATTCTAGTTTCTACGATACAAGCCCGCGAGCCTGATGAAGAACTACATGAAATTAAAAATGTAAATACGTAAGAAGATATAAAACATGAAACGCAAGTAAATGTACCATGTCAAGTAAACCTCCATGTGGTCCATTCTGGAAAACATTGTTATTAATTATTCTTAATTTGCCATGATCAACTAATGGACCTAACTTCATGCTTACGCTGTCATTCTCCACTTTTGCCCCGCTAGCATATACTATTACCACAGTATTACTTATTCATAAATAAAAAAATCAATCAATAGCAATTATTTGATCCCATTCCACAAAGAAGGATACAAAGTCACATGACGCTATGATGTCCGTAATACTCTGTACCCATAGAACAGACAACTATGGCTTGCATAAGCGACGGACAACGGACGATTTAACATTATGGTGGGCCATCAGTTAATTTGTCGTTCCGGTTGCATTAAAAAAATTGTAATAAAACTCTGTCATTGTGATGAACCGGGTCATCCGCATTCACCTAAGAGGTTGCAGCAATGCCTCCAGGGCGAGCCTCTTTTACCCGACATCAACACTGGATGACTCTGGGGACTGGTTTTGAAACCCAATTTGCTGTTGTATGCACTAAATATAACTTGTAAATGTCAATTACTTTACCGGAACTTGGGCAAGTTAGTTTGAAATACTGATGTGGTGTTGATGTAGGTGAACATCGCACCCTGTAATTTCGGCATGAGCTCTTCACGTAACGGTTTCATTATAAGATTCCCCAGTTGGTAAACTGAAAATAAATACATTTTATTACTTATTAATCGAAGAATATCCCAATTGGTTCATTAACTTCGTCTATTTTTGTTTAGTTATAATCTATTTTTACATCAAATATGTTTATGTCCTCATGATTTATGGATCTTCACGTCTTTCATTAAGATCTGATCAGTAGTTTAATTATGAAAATGTAATAACGAAATAAACATATTTTCGCATTTACAATATTAATAATATGAAAATATGAATTGTAAATTCACTTCTCTGAAATGACATATGTATATGAAATAGAATCATGAAAAGAGCATATTTTTAAAATTTATAATTATGGAAAAATCTGTATTATAAAATATACCTCTCAATTACTTTAAATTATATTATATATATATGGTTTATATAGATTATGGTTATTACTAGAGACTAAAAAAATTTTAAACTAGATTTAGATAACTTAGACTTACCTTGTTCTTTTGAGAAATATGTGGATATAACTGGTGGTGCTCCTAATCCAGTTGAAGATATCTTAAATGTATATATTTTTTTATTAACATTAACTACTACATTAATCAACACTACACATAAGAGTTAGATTCTTGAATAACACAAACAATAATATTCGTAGTTATATTTGTGTTTTCTAGGTACAAAAAAGTATTTAGGTAAAATTAAGAAAATTATCATTTAAGTATGTATAAATAATAATCACGTCGAGTTTAAAGAAGTATTTAATTATATCTGTCTAATCGTTATGGGTTTGTATTATCATTATTTAGTACTAGCTGTACCCGCCCGACTTCGTCCGCGTCAAATAAACAACAGCATAAAAATAAGTTTTAAGCTTCTAGTTTTAAAAATAACGATACTTCCATACAATCTTTCACCTCCCCTTTGAACCCCTTACAACTCTTTTTCGCCTATATATAGACTATCTGTGCACAAAATTTCATTTAAATTGGTTTAGTAGTTTTGGCGTGAAAGCGCGACAGCCAAACAGACAGAGTTACTTTCTCATTTATAATATTAGTAAAGATAAGTCTTGTAAAATTTTATATTCACGTATACTTAGAATTAGCCGACTTTCAAGTACCTGACCATGACCCAGGGCATATTTGTTTTGTAAATAAGCAAAAGGCTCATGCTTAACAGGTCAGGTATTCCCTAAAGGTGAGACGAGCACCTTATTGAATTATTACATTAGAATAAAACTGGACATAAAAATATAGTGACGGCTCTTTTGGCGGAATATAGCAATTTGTAATCCTCTTAAGCCTAATGATCATCATTCATCATTCAGATAGTTGATCACGCAGAATTTGTTTACAAAGAAGTGCGAATTTAGTTGCAGATTCTAATATTTGATTATTAAAAGTTAAGGCTTGAAGTTAATTCCATGAAAATGAGTATAAAAAATACACTTCTACTTGTAGAAAAATAATGGTTTACAAATGAAAAATCAATTACTTCTGATTTTTTTACAATCCTTTGCAGCTTTGTTTAAAATACATATATAATATTCAACAAAACCTCATACTTGGATTACCTACTCTATCATTCTACTATTATTCTAAGAACAATAACGTGTTGCCAGTCTTAGATTAGATGTTTCCTCAGAATCAGGATTAACGCTTTGCGTTTAGACGTTGCATGCACTTTATATTGTAAAGAATCATCTTTCACAGGTAACTTGATAAAAGCATACTGTTACTAAGTTTCAAATTTTTTTATAACATCTAGATATGAGATTACATACCTCAACGTTGAATCTGCACTCATTCAGTTTCAATGACTCGTATCCCAAGTTGACTGATTGGCCCATCAACGTCGCTATTACCAATCCTGACAAAACGCAGCCTTCAACCGTTAAGCTATATATATTTTTTTAATATTAATTTTATCAATAAAACTTTATATTTAGGTTTATAAAAATGTACATCATTTATCGCTTGATATTATTTTTCGACACCTATCAAGTTTAATGAAATTATACTATATATAAAGGTAGTATGTTATTATAGAATTTAATAAGATTCAAATATCAATAAGTATTTATTTAATTACTTTTACCGAGTTAGACATTGAAGTCGTCTGCGTCTGGAATCTTAGTGTTAGCTCTTAGTCTAGCAGTTTGATTTGTAATCTGTTTTTCGATAATATATAGCAGTGAAATTAATGGATAAGTGGCATAACATCTTAGTCTTCCAGAATGGCAAAGAACTAGTTATATCACTTTCTTTGTATGATAACATGATGGTCGTAGTTCATATATACAGTCGTCGATTAACGCGTGCCACGAGGTGGTTGTTCAGCTTGCTTGCCATTCCAATTGAAAAAAATACTTACACAAGCTCTCCCGTTCTATGTACTTGTTGCAAAGCAAATGGAGATACATTTAAATTCTTCCGACCCGCGTACACAATTGCCGATTCATTTCTAAACAAAATGTACGTAGCTTCCACAATCATCTGACTGAGCATCATTTCCACATGCAATATGTTAGAATCTAATGATAACGTTGTTTCTGCTACTATTACCTTTGGTAGTTCTAATAAATACAGATCTTCTAAAACACTGAAATAGTAATAATAATAAAACTCTTTATTGTGCATAAAAAAAACAAATATTTACAAAAAAGAGCAATATAAAAATATGCAAACAAAAGGCGACCTTATCGCTCAAAGCAATCTCTTACAGACGACCTAGATATAGAATAATAATGATTGTATCTTCTTGCCAGCTCGCTTATGTGTTGAACAGATGATTACAGTAAACTCAATAATAACGAAATACAGAAATACCTAAATGGTCACAGGACTCTGCACTTTCAAAGGATTTTCCTCCCACGCACACTCGGATTGTAGAAATTAACTACCTGACAAGGTTTTCTCTAGAGACTACAGAGTGGGATTTTTCAAAAAGGGTGTATTAAGGTTTCTTACGGGTCGGCAACACTCACGAGACACCTCTGGTGTTTCAGGTGTCTATAAGCTACAGTAACCGTTAACTATTAGGTGATCAAAAACATACGACCGTTTATGGAAATGTTTCTTACTTTATCACATATTAATGGCTGAACAAATTTGAATATGATTTAATGTTATTTAAATCATGTCAATATTGAAGCATTACAAATGTTATACAATACATACAACGTTTCAGAATAATTTATATTTTTAGGAGACCTATCCGAATGAGAGTTGAACGTTAAACCTTTAACTTTAACAACAGATACAATATACCGTACATTATATTTAAATTAAGGTTGATTATATCATGTAATTATGATATATAAATAAATACTAACACATCAACTGAACCATCAGAGAAGAAGAATCCATTTGAAAGCAATTTATTGTCTTTCATTTTTCTCACAAATACATTCATTCCTTTATTACCGTAGTTTTCTCTGAGCATCTGAAATAAGCAATATTATTGTTTTATTTCTGATATACAATTAGAGTACCTAAGCAATTTTATCTCGAAATTGCAAGATCCAGATCTCGCGGAATTAGAAATGTTGATCTCAAGATATCTCAGATTTTTCGAGATCTCGAGTACTTAATTATTTCTTTAATTCGGAAAACATAAATGCATTTTAAAAAATATGTATAAGTATATAAAATAGCTCGAGAAATAGCGAAGTTGAAAAAAGGAAATCTGATGGCTTATACACAATATAAAGAGCAAATAAGTTGTATAATGATATGTATAATGTTTGCGAACTTAAACCTCGTTTTTTTTTATAAATACAATATATAGTTATACAACTTATATCAGACAAAGTCTGGTATAAGTTATCAGTCTTCATCTGATAATAATTGTATGTATTTAAACCTGTTGTAAAATTTAATATCGTATATTTTAAACTAATAATTCCGAAATTATTAATACAGGTATTTTTTCGTCTATACTTTTATCACTGAAATCTATTAGAATATAATTAATATTCATGTGCTGCGTTGCGCTTTAGATATGTTTTATAGGTACTCATAATACATAATATTTATATTTACATAACAACAGTTGTTATAGTCAAAATGCTTGTAGATAAGATAGCGATAATTTTAATATCCGTACTAGTACGTTATTTTGTCATAAAATTCCAAGAACATACCAAATTAAGTGCAGACTCGTATGATTTTCTATACATTTCCCAAGATTTCTTGAATGATCTAACAGTATCTGAAATTGAATATTTTTAAGAGAAAAATTATTTTAAAATATAATACTAGAAAGTATATCACGTTTAATTTTTTTATTGGCTTCATATTTTATTCACTTTTTACGTTTTATCTAATACAAATTACAGGATAAAGATAGATGAGATCTTAGTACTATAAAATTGCAACGTTTGTGTGGTATCACATGATAACGTGATGCCCGACCGTTGCCGCTTACTATCAGTCAACTTCTTGGCCATTCGAATTACATAAGAAACAGAAATATATCTGAACAATCTTGTGTCACGTCTAGCTTCTTTAGTATATGTAAAGAAGTATTTTACTTTAATCAATAAAAAAAAATTAAATACTAAGGTCTACATAATAATACATGAATATAAGATCTTACTAATATTTTAAACGCGAAAATTTGTAAGAATGGATGAATAGTTGAATGGATCGATGTTTGATACTCTGTCACACAAAATTTCAAAGCTGATGCTTTGATGAAACTTTACAGTAATATAGTTTATACATCTGAATAACACAGATAGGCTATAAATTTCATACGGATGAAACCGCGGGCACCGATAGTGGATGATGTGATTATTATGGAGGGGATTGTTAGTAATGTGGTATGGGTAACTTCCACGCGGTCTTTCTTGGGAACCGTCATTATAAATTCCTGCTGAATTTGTGAGATGGGCTAACTGATCTGACCTCATGTCTTTCTTATCATCGTCCACTAGTGTACCACTAGCATAAACCGTTTGCGCAGACGAGTGCATCATTCCATTATCATCCATTAAAAAAATGTAAGATAATTATAAATTTCATTCGTTAGTCTGATGGATTACTATTAGGCAATAATGAGACTAACTAATAAATATGCACAAAATACCTACCGCTCTTAAAATATTCCATCACGGTTTTATCAATTTCCGATGAATATACATCGGCGAAAGCAATAATTGCCACAAACAGAATAAAAAATATATGCATTCTTAATTTGTCTCTATTATCGAGTACTGCATAACCTCATAAATATTGTGAATATTATTTTTTAAAACAATGTAGAAAATATGTTTACAACAGTTACGTAAAATGTTCCGATTGAATAGAAACAAAGATTGAATGTCAAAATGTGTGCAATCATAAATCAGTAAGGCATTAATTTTAATCTTTGAAAGTAATTTAAATTTTTATTGATAGGAAAACATGAGCAAACCAAACTCTTTAAGGAATTCTGAATATTGAAACAACTGAATAATTTGCTTTGGTAATCATGATAAGTACTTTATGCATCGCTGTATTATGTTCGCATGCAATTTTCTATGTTGTGAATGGTGATTTAGTAGAGTTGGACAATAATGGTACGTAATTGTATTTTTTTTATAGGTACTAGGTACTAATTTGGACATTCGATTCCTAATATATTGCTAATTTCCGTAATTAATTAATTCGGTAATCACATACAATAATAGTTACTTGTTTATTAAATTTAGACCACTAATGGAGCCTATTATAAATTACTTATAGACTAACATAGATATGAATGATATTATAAATAAAAATTATCTAATATAAAATATAAATAATTGTCTGTATGGTCACGGTACTGATGACGGCAATCAGCCTCGGTAGCGACAATATATCACCCCCTTCTGCCAGTAGTCCTCTTTTATGAAAGTAGTAGACATGTTGATGAGTACCCCAATCCACAAACGCCTTGAAACTCGCGCTGTTACTCGACTCCAGCTGCTTCACCCACAACGTCAGGTTACTATTGGTCCGTATGTAGTCGACAATGTCCTGCTCCTTTTTGCTTGAATAATTGCTTCCATACTCAAAATTCATTCCCCTTCTCCTTTCCCTCTCCATACGCATAATAAGTACCGTACGTAATACTGGTGTTCTAATATAATAATGATAGTTAGCCAGGCCTGGGAATACTCTATTACCTTTCTCTATTAAGGTAAAGGTTGATATAACGACATATAGTACATTATCTTATTATTCGTACATTATTTTTTGTATCTTTTGTATACTCGTATCTAATACAAAATATACTTATAATGTTAAAAAATACATTTTTGAAAACAAAATATTATAATACAAAAATATACTTTTATGACTTCTAACGTAAGAAATAGAAGGGTAAATAAATTCCATTGATCTTAAAAAGGATTCCAAACCAATTTATTTTTCATCAGAGTTCACCATTATTGATGGAAGGGTCGAACCCATAAACAAAATAGACCATTCGCATTAGTTCAGATGTGTTTCGCTGTTATATACATACAATGTAGGTAGATAGATACGGAATAAGATTTCCAACCTTTACTCTATATCTGTGAATTTCTTTGTTAATATAATTATATAAAATACATCATTATTACAAAATATTACTATTTTTTACAATAATCGCAGTAAATACTTGTTTAAATATATAGTATAACCAATAAGACGTGTTAGAGTTATTTCGTCATAAGGGTAAGTGCACACAGTATCTATACTTACTTATTATAAAAATATTTAGCTAAATAAAATCCATCAGATAAATGATGTTATTTAAACAACCACCTATAAAGGAGACAGAAAATGAAGTTATTTATAACTTTAAATCCGCCCGACGGAAATTGGTCTAGCGTTTTGTATTTCCGGATAAATACTTATTAAGTTGAATAAAATATTACTTACTTGAATTAACAAAAATATGAATATATTGTGACAATCGTAACGTTAAATTTTAACTTGTTATTTACCGTCGTTTTATATGCCATAATACCTTATATTCTATTCTCGTGGAAACTTCTGGAAACTCTTTTATAGTGGATGTCATATACCTATGGATAGATGCACAATAAAATCTATTATATACCAAATCTCATTTTAACGCCTAGCCATTTAACGCATAAGTTGATTGATCAGTCAATCAATCAGAAAAATGTCTTTATTATTTAGTGTATAGATATAGTGTTTTTTGTTGATTATTTTATGAAAGTGATTACAGCAAAAAATATCCCTCTCATAGGTTGTCTCTATTTAATACCAAATGTCCTATACCTCATCTAATATTCTAATATCATAATTACAAAGATATTTATTTGGTTAATATCTTGAACGACTGAAATTATATTCTTTAGATTGTAAGTAAGTCTAATTATATAATTGGAGTGATTATTAAAGCAAATAACTCTTTTGTAACTGCATGTTTTATTAACTATTGACCTGGCACTTGCTTCATATTAGTATTTCTATTTACTGGTAGCAAATCCTTTGTAAAATACCAAAATAGTACCTATTTTAATTCATTTTTCGATATTTGTCATGTTACATATATCGAAAAATGAATTAAAATAGGTTTGTACATGTACCTAACATGTACAAAATTATAAGCCTATACAAGTTTGACTGTGATGTTCCATGGGTTAGTTAGTAAAGTATTCAGTCAAATAAGGATAAGTAATTAAATAATAATTTAATTTTGTTGTAGTAATACTTTAACAAATACATTTTTTATACAATACAAATAATGAATATGATCTATGATTACGTGTCATTTTTAAATATTCTATTTATAAATTATTTTTTCATTTAAAAACATATTGAAAAACCTCAATTAATGAAATGAACGAGATGAGACACGGAATGATGATTACGACGACTTATTTGCTGTAAAGCTACTAATTAGTGAAAAAAGATATCACAGTGTTGGTTTTTGTCGCTAATTTAGATTTAAACAAAGAGAAAAGACGTAAAATAAATGCAAACATAATTTTTTGATGTTTCTGCTAAAGCTTCTATCTCAAATATTTTCTTCAATTAATTATGAAAATTTGTTAAAATGTCTACATGTTTTGTTACATGATTAAACAGGTTTGTTCAGGTTTACAGGATAGAAAAGAATAGAATAAATCTATAATGCTGTGTGGGTATATTAAATTGTTGTCGGTGGACTGTATGATTATCTAAATGTTGAAAACACGTAGATTATGTTAAAGAAAATATTTTAATATACATCTGCGAACTATGGAAAAGACAATGTAGCAATAACTGAAATGCATCAAAAACATCACATATATTTTTTTTATTTATGTCTTTTTATTATGTTTCATTAAAAAATACATGCAACTCTATGTAAATTTTCACCCTTCTGTCACCAAGTCCTATTTTTTTATAGCGTTATTAATTTATATGGCAAAACAACGTTTGCCGGGACAGCTAGTATACGAGTACATTAGAAACATGTGGGTTGAGCAAGTTTTTTCTGTGTACGTATATTTAGTTATGATTCCACCCAAATTTACTGTTCAATGAAATTATTATTATAAAGGTATAAAACAGAAAACGTATAGGTATATATCCTTATTTTTTTACCATTTGTAAGATAAATATTGACAAACTCAAGTTTCGCTTGTGATGATAAAAATAATATTTTTCTTTCGTTTCATAAATTTCAGTATTCAACCATCAACTATTATTCAAATGTAAAGAGTATCATCTTTGTATGTATTTTCATAATAATTGATACTTGAATAATTTTCTAACGTATAAAGAAATAATTCAATCATATTATTAGTAACCTAATACACATTTTTGTGCATAATAACATCACAATTAATACAAATTGAACTGCTAAATAAATGAGAACTGCTAAACTTTTATTTACCCTTATATACCTACTATCAACTCGTAATATACCCACAAATTGTTTGGTTAAATGGCATATTCGGTACAAAAGATTTGTATTAATCACTTTGTGTAACAATTATCTACAATTACATATTACTGTACATATTTGTTCATTCCGTGTTATATTTCCCCGTTTCATAAACAAAACTGATGGTAATGGTTAAAAGCAACATAAACCTTTTATTTTAATAATTACTTAACTTAATGACAGTCAATCGAACTTTGAAAAATATTCAAGATGTTGCTAAATATCAAATAGAAGAGATATGTTTCTAAATTCTGTCGTCTACATTGCAGAAGTCATTAAAGATCCATACAAGTCAACTGAGCAGTCCGATCAATCGAATGAAAATAGAATTGATTTAAATAAACCAGCAAAAGAAGATGGAAACTGTTGGTTGACATTGAATGCCAAAGATCACTTCACTAACATAGATGCATTAGATAGTAAGTAGGTTTAGTTATTTAAGGAAACCAAATATAAACAGTCATACATGTACACATAACGCTGGGTATCCATTCGATTCTAATAATTATATAAAAAATGTTACGTTTAAAGCACAGAAAGCGACCGGAGTCTGAAAACTAGCGAAACATCTGCATGTCACATAGATTATTATCTCCTGTTTCTATAAAGATATTTAATCTTCATAGAAATGCGATTGGTAAAAAAATCTAATAGACTTACCTACACTCAAAAATATAATTTGAAAGAAATCAAGAAGCTTTTTCATTTCATGGACGTACCATTAATACAAATTTGCTTAACTTTTATAGAGATATATGCTGACATACGTGATCGCTTCCAACAAGCCATCGGTGGTGACAATTTTGACAAAGAAATGCTCGAAGTGAGTTAAAATGAAATGTTTCAAAATTATATATTTTTTACATATTTAGATAATATTGTTCCCCGTATAAAACTGTAATTTAGCTAAATAAATATCAGAAATTACACCATACCTAATTTTGTCCGATTTAATAGATAGATTCGTTTTTGTTGGTCCCAATACTGATCTGCAGGAACGCAAGGGGAAGTAAGAATTTTGTAACCATCGAAATTAAAAATAATAGTTTGCGCTTTTCGAAAGTTCGATGTAATACAGAGTCCCAGACATATCCTACTACTTTAAGTCCGATGGTAAAACATGTGCCATACACGGGATTTTCTGTAATGTATTGTTACTACTGTTACTACTGCTGTTGAAATCTGAGATTCTGTTCATAATTTCAGCCTCTGTAAATAATGAAACTTAAAAAAATGATTAGCCAAATTGTTTTAAGCATATAAGTTTTGTACACAAGGTCTTTGTTCCGTCCAGATGCTCATTAAATCAAGAGGTATCTCCGATAGAGCAAAACAGCAGGATGGTGGTCAAAGCAAAATACCTGCTGGTCTCAACCTTGGTGGCCACTGCATGATGAGGATGCAGAACTCCATGCTGTAAGTCAAAAAAGGTCATACAATTGACGGCCTTGGTGGTCTAGCGGATTAGCACACCGCCTTCCAATGGCCGCGGATTCGATTGCTCACGCGATACAAATATTTGTACTCATCAATATGATTGTTTCTAATAGTCTGTTTTCTATATATTTCATATTTACAAAACAAGTTATATAAGTATTCCTGTCAGTTATCCAGTACTTAAAACAAGCTCTGCTTAACTTAGGACTTGATACTGCTATCTGAATTGTCTTTAATTATTATCATTATTAATAATTACAGTTTTATTTACCTATAAGGTTCCTATGAGTTCATATTATTAATGAGTTAACGTTTCTCGTGACAAAATTTTAATCATTTTAGGGCATAGTATAGTGTATTTTGTAATATGCATAGTGTTATTCATCTAGTTGAAACCACAACTATTACCACTTATCATCTCGTCATCTGGGAGGCCAATAGCTGGTTTACCGTTCCTATAAATAAAAATTTATATTATTATTATTATTAATTTAATCGGTTGTGAAAAAAAAAAATAGTGCCACTGTCAAGAAACTAAAAAAAAGTAATAATAAAGATATCATTAGTACTTCGTTCATAAAGAGGCCTCTAGACAGATTGTGTAATTGAACGAAAAATGAATGATATTGTATTTCGAGTTATTGTTTATTTACTAACAGCAAAGCAAAGTAAATTATTTTTACAATTGAATGTTTTTTCGTCATGAGATTAAATTAATATTAACATTCAATATAATATTGATAGGGACTTTTGTTTACATATATAAACAATATAGTACCTTCGCCATTAGATTGAATTCATAACGAAGGTTATTTATAAATGTCGTTATTATTACAGTCTTATACCTCAATGTCATATCAAATTTCTGTAAAGTATCGTATAACTAACTGTAATACTGTATCCTGCTCTAAAAACAGACTGAAAAATTTTTAAGGAACCCCCCTAAAGAAAAGGGTTGAGATAAGGTAGTGAAATTACAGGATACGAGGCATATCTTAGTTTTCATAAACAGCAACGCGCACTACTTATTCTTACTACTTACCATCAGGTGAATTGTAAGATAATTTTTTATTCCAATTGTTAAAATAAAACAGTAATCAGACCAATATACAATAGATAGCAACTAAGAACCATCTCGGTCACGTCAGTTCTCAAACAGAAAAGCCTTATCATAATTGGTCCATTCGTTTAAGAGCTATATGCCGCATGACAGAAATATATATACGTCAACCTTATAACACCACTTTTTTTTTTCAGAAGTTAAAAACATTAAAATCTTGAGACACAGTGTAGGTAATATTCTTTTTTAATAGACTTTAATTTTATTCGTTTTTTCATTATTGCTTCTTCAGTTTCTTCCATCGATTGAAGCTACGTAATGATACACACTTTCACGTAAACTACATCCACAATGATCTTCTCAACATGCAGCTAGAGTCGAGGATATCACTGAACGACCTGCATCTTATAGGCACCTATGAGAGGTCCATGACGGATAAGAACCCCTCCATTCTGTACTACACGCCAACATTTGGACAAATCGAGTGAGTTTTTTGTATATATGATAATGGATCGTGCACCCGTGCGTGAAGTCGGGAGAGTTAGACCATCATAGAGATCATAGCTATTCTCATCACCAGAAATTAACCATGATGGTTTCTACCGGAACCGCGTGGCAATCAAAACTACAATTAGTTAGCTACTTCCTAACATACCTACACTTTCGGAAAGGGATTTTTAGTAATATTCCTAGGCGAGTAAGTGGGTTTACACCAGGGATGTTATGGATATGAAATGTCGGATACGGTTAGGTTTCGGATATAGGAATGATTATTATACCGGATACGGATACGGATTGGGATATGAAATTATTTCCGATTATCCGTTAGTTTCGGATAATTTCGGTTACGGATAATTATTTTAGAAGGAATTTCAAAAGTAAAATGCAAGTAGCTAATAAAATGGTTACATAACGTGTCCCAATTAGGCTCCGCCCCTATCCGATATTATCCGTAACTTTTATTTCGGATTCGGTTAAGGTTACGAATATTTTTTATTTATTTATTTATTTATTTATTCTTTTGCACACAAAAATGTATACATGGCGGACTTAATGCCTTATGGCATTCTCTACCAGTCAACCGTCGCGTTGATCAGAGATAATAAGGCGGTGCACTTTAATAATTATTTGAAAGAAAAAAAAAACAAAAATTATAACAAAAAGATACAGAAAAATAATACATATATATACAGATGCAAATATATAAAAATATTAGTATTTTTATATAAAATATATACCAATATAAAATATATAAGTTTATGGATTACATATAAATAAAATATAAATTTAAACTACATATAATAAATATTCATATAATCTCATGGAGTTTATATAATAACATATCTTGAATACTATTAAATAAATTTGGAATAATGTTCACGCAAGGACCTCTTCAAGGTAAATTTGGTTTGACATCTTCTAAGGCCAACAGGAAGTGCATTCCAAAGGTTAATGGCAGAAATCGTGAAAGATTGAGATGAGAAATTAGAGCGATGAGAAGGAGTATAAAGCAGGAGATTAGATGAAGAGCGAAGATCACGAGAATGTGATGAACTTAGAAATTGAAATCTTTCTTTGAGGTACTGAGGAGCTAGTGGATCGTATAGAACAGAAAAGAGTTGACAGAGAATTCTAACACTCCTGCGCTGGCGAATAGGAAGCCATTTCAGCTCAGCGCGGAAGTGTGAGATATGGTCATATTTACGTAGACCGAATATGAAACGTATGCAATTGTTGAGTAAACGATCCATTTTATTAAGGAGGTCTTGGTTAAGATTTGAATAACACACATCTCCATAGTCAATTATAGGTAATACCAAAGACTGCACTAAAAGACGTTTAGTACCAACCGGAAGAAAGTTTTTAAACCTGTATAAGGACCGTAAGGCAGCTATGACTTTTCTACTGACCTCATTCACCTGTCGATTCCAATTAAGGTTGTTGTCCATGTAAAGGCCAAGATTTTTAACATGGCTGGTATATGGTATAACTGTGGTGTCAAATACTAATGTCCGTAAGTTGGTACTATCAATCCTATCTAACTGCCGCGAACTACCTAGTATATTTTATAACGGACATCCGATAGTTTCGGTTACGGTTACGGAGCTAACATTACACACAGAGTTGTTAGTGTTTTTCAAATCAGACTAGACTGGATTACGATGAACATATTCCATATTTCTTAGAGGTAAGTTTATTTATAAAACCTTCAAACCTATATTCATAGAAGTTTTTATGTAATTGGAATGACGATAACCCGATGCTTGAACAGACAGCCTCTGATCCAGAGAGGGTTTACACGATTTCCTCTAGTAGTAATCTTGGTTAATTCCAGATGAATAATTTAGGTCTCGGTGGACTTAGTTTAGCACACCACCTTACTTCCAATATCCGTGGGTTCGATTCCTCGCACAATAAAAACATTCAAGTGAGCGATTGTTTGTCTGGTTCTTTTCATATATATTATATATCAAGTCGCTTAAAATTTATAACACAATCTCTTAGCTTGGGACTAGATGACACTGTGTAATTTGTTCTGTGTTCTTATTAAGTAAGTACTTTTATCATTCACTTTTACCTACACTATACTTAATTAAATAATAATAAATTAAATTCAAGGCCAATATTATAGTATATTTAAAATGTCTTTATTAAATTCCTTTTTCAGATTTCTTCTAAAAGATGTGCAGTACAAAATGAAAGGCAGATACCGTCTGGTACAAGAAAGACTATTTATTGAATTGGTTATATCAGCAATTAAAGTTGACGATATACTTATGAGTGTAAGTGTTTCTAGTTAATTAATAATATTATATTTCAATTAGTCGATCTATTGATCGTGACGGTGTAATAATCAAATAAAGCAGATCTCTGAACTCTTGGTACAAGATTTATTGTTTTAAAACACAACATTAGTTATTTCTGATTAGATAATGATTTTCTGTGCAAATATATATGTACTTCTTCAAATATAGGTAATATTAAATAAATATAAAATATTATATATAAATATTAAAAAATAAATATAATATAAATTAGCTTAATGAATAACAAAATAGACTTTTAATGGCTTGTTCAAATACAAATCTTTTTAAACGAATCTATTTAAAATGAAAGTAGCAATTACTACTCTCCAAACGACATATTTATTATTGCATACAAACATTTGTATTCATGACTATGATTGTTTTTGTCAGTCTGGGATTTGCTAAGTATATTATGTATTACATTTATATTTATTATTACAGTATTACAAAAAAAATTAGTTATGCAGTACTCATAAGACAAGCTCTGCTAGCTTGTAACTAGATGGCGCAGTATGAATTGTCCTGAGATATTATTATCATATTATATTATTATTGACATAAACTGTATTATGGTATGCTGTTATATCATAATATATTTTGTTAAGATTTACTTCACTTTATAAGTACATATAATATTTGCAGCGATCATTTTTAGGCACTAAGCTAGTCACTTCTAAAGCTAGTTCCTTGTAATGCATGAATCTTAAATAATTTAAACTGATATTTTAGTAAAAAATGTTTCAGTACTCCAACAAAACAACTAAAAGCCCGTCGATATCTTTGCATCGCAGAAATATAGGTAAGTAATGATTTATACCTATTTATATATAAAAGATAAAGAATCAACCATGTACCCCGGCATATATAGTCACTGTATTTTATACATGCTTTCAAAACCTAAGGCATAATCTCCCATATTTTATCAGTTTATACTACCTAAAGAAATTGTTAAACCAAACAGATTACAGTGATCCTGAAGGTTCAAATGTTCGCATTATAAGGTTTTCACAGCTATAAATAATTGTAAAATTAACAATACATTATGGAACATAAGCGTCACATTTAAAAAAAACTTCATCAGAATCGATCACACACAGATACAAAATTATAAGTTAGAACTCTTATTGCGTCGGAGGCTAAAAACAAAAACCACCTAGTTGTTAATTACTGCATACAATTTGGTGTACCTTCATTTCAAAGACGCTCTCACTGTAGACTCATCTTAAGAAATCCCTAAAAGCTTGCCTTTTTTATCTTTTGTATATAATTCTGTATGACATTCCTATATTTCGATTTATTCACCATGGCAATGGGTATAGGTACCTACAGCCGATGCCGTGTTTCTGATTAATGTTTAGTTTTAAGTGTTTTCATTACAAGAAATGAATTACTTCAGTAATATAAATTGACACAAAACGATTTATGGTGTCTTCTATTTTTCAACTACTTTCTGTCTTTGTCGAAGAAGTAACCCACTAGACCACGGCTCTGTGTGCTACTATTCTTAATTTATTGTTTAATTTAATTTATTATACTTGACAGAACAGTTTCTAGAACGTTTGAAGGTGGATCTCGACAAGTGGCTGCGAGACTACTTCAACGACTACCTGTTATATATCGACCTGGCCGGGCCCGCATCTAACGCAAAATTTCAGTATGTCTCATTTTTATTTTATACAAATTGCAATAATGGTTCATTTTTTTTTTAATCTTAAACAAAAAGGGGGCTCTCTTATTGAAATATTAACCGTCGCCAGTTAATATGATCTGCAACATGGACATCACAGAATTATCTCATGCGTAGCAACTTTTGAGATCAGGAAATAATTTATAGAAATAGTAATAATCTTTACTCAAATAATCTTAATTCAAGCTCATTTGAATAGTCATATTTTTTTTATTCTACTCCTCATTCGGAACGCAGACTCATCACAAGAGGAATGAGCAAGGAACTTGTGTGTTGATCTTTTCAATTTATGTTTTTTTTAAATAAATAATTACACAATAACAAATAAGAGACGTGATTAATGCAAAAGAAGGAAAATTTACTATTCTGCAACGTCATACATTTAGAATTCAAGAAACAGCAGCTTAGTAGTAATAATTATGTACTTTATGTACTGTACTTTGATCACATTAACCATAAATAGTATTTTTTGTCGTCTACGCCTTTGTCTCGCTTACATATTTCCGCCACTAGTTTAATCATAAGCTCTGTTTCAACTACGGTATTAAAGTGGATGGGATATCGTATCGCATCGTATGTTGGACTTTATTTCCACATTTAGTCTCTCCTAAGTATCTCTTCTGAGCATGAATCTTAATCTAAAGGATTATATTAATAACAACGCATAATAACGTGAATGTATGTATATCCGCAACTGATCCGGTAGCATGTTTGCAACTCCAATCGCATAAATAAAAGAAAAGAGAACCATCACTGTTATATACATAAATAAAGATGATATTGGTTTATTGCAATGTAATTCTTATTGTTATAAGGGAATACGATAAGAATAAAGCATTAACTCTGAACGAATACGTGGATACCGCGCTGTCACTCATGAAAAGACGTCTGCAGAAATTAAAAGCAACCGCCGTAAAATTACCAATGTTTTCAATATTCTCTACCAACGGTGTGGTAAGTAAGAACTTTGATGATAATATAAAAACTAGCAGAAGGACTTATGGGGCGGGTGAAAATCTAGCCCTGTCTGAAGAATACTTTAGTTTTGAAGGAACATTGACTTGAACCGTCTTAATTACGATCTCTATGAGAATATGATAGGGGATGAATCAGAAAAGTTATAATTAACTATGTCTATCCATATATATATTTCTATATTTGTTCTTTTGTACACAAAATTGAATACAACGCGGACATAATGCCTGATGGCATTCTCTACCAGTCAACCGTCGCGTTGATCACAAATAATAAGGCGGTGCAGTTTAATAATTAATATTAAAATATAAAAACAGATAAATACAGAAATATATGTATGTATATAATTAACAAAATGTGTTGTATTATCGCCTTTTATAAAATAGTAGATACTTATATGTATAGGTATACACTGAGCAGAGTAGCTTCTAAATAATATAACGTATAAAAGGCCACACACATAAGAGGCGCGTTATGTTGTTTGATCTTGTCCTTATACAATTACAAGGAGGGTCAAATTATATTCCAGTTATGTAACATCACATCTTACAACCATATTTTGGATAATAACGTCAGTATTATTACAGAGCGTCCTATTGGTTTAACACCACAACATAAAGCGAAAGGTCTTGAGTTTAAATCTAGCTGGCTTCAAAAAACTTTGTATTATATATATATCTAATTTACACTCCGGTGGTGGCAAGACTGATAAAGAACCAAAGCAATTATAGAGAGGGTGGTAGGCCCGCCCTACACATTGGATTTAAATGTTTAACCATATAAAGATTTCCGTCCACTATGCCTCTAGCCGTCACATTTGGGATAATAGTCGTAAAGGTATATTTATAATATAATATAAGTTTCATAAAGTTTATTCAGAAAAAAGGATTAGAACATGCAAAACCATAAAAAGGAAGTGCCTAATATTCGAAAAATTAATACTTATAGAATATAAATAATTTTACTTGCTATTCTAACTGGTTCTGGGGTCGGCGATAAAAGCAGAAAGAAATAAAACAACGTGGGTAATAAGAACAGCACATTTAATTACTCGAAGAATGCGACAGCCTGCTATTGTATTTTAATATTCTTTCTCTTACCGTGTAGCTAAGAAAAAATATTGTAGCGAATAATTGCAGAAGAGTTTTCCTTTGTTAATTTTATGTCCACATTTATGTACATAGAAATGGCCTGTGTAGTCAAGCGGCCTAGCTTACTTCCGATGGTTGCGAGTTCGATTTCTCGCACGATATAACAAATTGTATTCACGAGCATGATTATTTAGTCTAAACGTTTTATACATATATATATATATATACATTTAAGTGTTTTTATTACTTGTTCCGTATTATATCATAGTACAAGCTCAACTTAGTTCAGGGCTAGAATTTGCTGTGTGACGTATATTGGTTTGTTACTGTTATTATTATACAAAACTTGTTCTTCTTTTATAGGAATTGAAGTTGAAAAATGGAGTACTACATGGACTGGATAGCATGTACAGACGCTCAGTCGCTACTGGCATCCGAGTAAAAGGCGAAAATATTCGTAAGACGGACGTCATTATTGGATTCAGCAATCTGAAGGTTATTATAGACAAATGGATTATATTTTGCATTAAGTTATTGACAGATTCCGTCGTACATCCTATGTGTTAAAAGATGAATAAATAGATAATGTGTGCAGAAACAGTTCGAACATAAATACATTTAATTAATATCTGATATCTTACTTTCGTAATTTACAGTATATTTTTTAGGTATTTCGATAATCTCCATTAATATGTATACCTGAAAAGGGAATGGTAATAATGTCACTATGAACATTGATAATAATTTACCATGTGAGGTGATCTCTACGCAACGCTCCCTGGAACCATTGTGACAAATATAACCAAACTTCATACTCATACTATCATCCTTATCAGGCAGGAGTTAGGCTTCAGCCGCTGCATAAGTCCTTCCGCTGACTTGAAGTGCCATCTGCGCTCTCCGTCTATCGTTCAGTGAAGCTGTAATGGCCAGCTGTGACTAAACGCATCATCCTCCGCTGGCACCTCGCTAGCATATACTGTTAGCGTAAACAGTTGCACCGTTCCATTTCCATTGTCATCCTAAAACAAATATCTAAACGTATACTATTTTTATCTATATTAATATATATTTTTATGCTATTGCGCATTCATAATTGTACTCCAAATATTTCAGGCTGTGTATAACTACGATGCTGTGTTGACTACGGGAGTACCTCCTCTAAATGGTCAGCTGATCCTGTCTGCAGACGAGCTCACGTCATTGATGAGCATAAAACTTGTCAAAGATTCGGAAACTGTCGACATAAATTTTGAGTTCATGCAACAAATGAAGTAAGTTAGTTAAAACTTAGAAAAGGTTCTATTTTTAAAAAAAATACACTGTACAATGTATCTATGCCAAAGGAGAAAAAAGTTTATCTACCTGCCTACTATTTTTACTGCTAAGCAGCTTGATTGCAAGATTTGCTAGCTATTCCCTGGTTTAAAGAATACTCTCGTTAAAATGCATAGTTGCTTAACATTTTCAAATCCATTTATAAACTAAATACCTACTTTTATATTTTGCGAACACAAATATGTACCTATATGAAAATTGAATCTGAGTAAGTATCCAATGGTAAGTAACAATGTTACGTGGGAACTGTAATTTCATGTATTTGGTATTATTCTCTACTAAATGCAGATAATAGAAAGGGCAGTCATAGCTAAAATTTTAACTAAATTAATATTAGACATACTACAATTATTGGTAATATCTTTCATTTAGGCCAGAGTCGCTGGCCCTAGAAGGCCCAGCCAATACAATGATAGCAAACTTCAAACATTTACTGGAACTTCACATAATTGCTATCATGAGCAACTCCATGATCTATCAAATCAAACTACTCAGCAGTTTGACTAAATGTCGTAAGTATCGGTCACAAGATTTTTTGTTGCACAAAAAAATTCAATCAATGCAGAACGTATTAACGAATTTTTGTTAAATTTGTTTAACATCAATAGTTTTGCATAACAAAAGTAATCTATAGATTAACAGATGTATTTATAAAAAAAAATTAACTCCGCAATGTCACCAGAAATCATCTATAAATATACAATTGATAAAACTATAGAATAACATAGTACTAAATGCGATCAAATAAAGAAGATCCTAAATCTTTTTTTGGAGTCGGTTGAAAACGGTCTTTAAAGACAAAAATTAATAAATACCATATTATTCCTATTCTTTTTTTAGAACCTTATTTCGTTGCTCACATTGACCCAGAAGACTTAAAATACAGAAACAGTATTAAAGAAGCCTATGAAAATGAAACATTGCAGGATGAATCAAATAGACTAATAATTTTTAAAAATAATGAAGACAATAAGAGTAATGAAATATCTAAAGAGGATTTGAAAGAAACATCTGATACTGGTTCAGTTGTAGAAAACGTAACGGAAAGTCTATCAGAAAACGAAGAAGACTTGACAACAGAAAATGGAGAAGACTCCTCATCGGAAAACAGCGATGACGAAACAAAAGTTGTCACTAGCAATGCTGATTTCATTCTCAATAAACAAGATAGCATACAAAATGGAGTAGCCTCCTAAAGCAAATTCCAATAAGAGAGAAAAGCTTTTACTAAAATACAACGAAACAACGAAGTGTTTCATCATCGCAGAAGTAAAGTTAAACATCAATAAAGAAATATTAATTGTAAATGTTGTTTAAACTGTATAATTAGACAGACTAATAACTAATACTAGCGCATGCTTTTAACTAGATTAGTTAGAAAAATTGTTTTATTAATCTATATGTATACCAAAGTGGAGGAATCGTATTTTTTTATGAATGAAAATTATACGAATAATGCAAAAAGTTAACGGTCTATCTGATTAAAAATAGTCTGTCTGTAGCGCTGGTTATGTATATTGGCGTATATAGATATACATATATATATACCAGCACCACAGGTACAAAATGTACTATCCCACTTGCAAAACATGCTGAAATTGCAGGGAATGAAATTACTGTTTTACAAATCTTGAACAAATTCGCATAAAAGAACATCAGAGGCAACAGTCGATAGGTCCCCCATCTAGAAGGGGATTGTTAGTTTGTTTGTTTGTTTGTTTGTAATTCTTTATTGTACAAAATATTAATAGATACATATGTCTTAAAAATAAATGAATGGTACAATGGCGGACTTATCCCAAAAGAGGGATTTCTTCCAGTCAACCTTTGAGTGACTGAAAGGAATTGTGGAGTGGTGGATACAAGTACAATAAGAAAAGGATTGTTAGTAATGTGGATTGTTAACCCCATTGCTAGCAATGTACCATGTCAGGTCAACCTCCACGCGGTTCCCCCTGGAAACCACCGTGTTAAATTCCTGGTGAATTTGTCACGATGGGCTAACTGACCTGACCTCAAGCTCATCTTATCATCCTCCACTGGTGACCCGCCAGCGTAAACCGTTAGGGCAGACGATTCCATTATCATCCCCAAAAAAAAACAGTCGATAGGTATCTGTAGTAGAAGATGACGGCAACCTAACCAAAATTATTATTATATTTTTCCCTTTTATTTACACAATTTAAAGGCATAGGTTTCATATCCAACAATAGCAATAATGAACATGAATCAGTAGCTTCATATGTGTACCTATTAATACACATCACTTTGACGAAGTATTTGAACATTTAAGAAGTACATCCTGTTTATTTAATTAACAATTACAATACACCATATCTTTACTTTCTGTTGTTATTAACAACAGAAAGTAAAGATATGGTGTATGTACATTATAAGTTATAACTTATAACACAATAGAGCACATTATCAGAACGTAATGACAGTCGTTTTTCTCCTACCTCAGGTGAGGAAGTAGATGTCATTGTCATTTTTTTTTAACAACAGCTCAACTGATTTCTATGATCTGTGCTTAAAATGTCAATTGCCTTGTTGTTTTTTGGCACGTCAGTTCATTTTTCAGTGTTAACAATATGTTTTATTATTTTTTTAATAAAAATCTGATAATTCCGCACATATATAAATTTTACTGACAATAACTTATTGGGAAATGATATAATCGAAATGACGGAAGAAGAAAGTGTTGATATTAAGCAACAATTAGATGATTTACTAACAAAAGTGCAACCAAATCTTCAAGATGTTATCAAAAGAGTAAATATACTTTATTTATTTTTATAATAATATTTTGACTATGTAAGAAAACTAAAAAGTAAGTACATTGCCTAGTGATAATTTTAAATTTTGTTTTTCAGAGTTTTACTAATGTTGCGCTGCAACAAACTAAAAATGGTGAACAAGTTAAACCTGATATTTTGGAAGACACTTCATATTTCGCCAAAAATACCCAAGTGTGAGTTCTTTTTTTTTAATTTTGCTTAACCAATTATCGTAAGATTTATTATTCATATAGGTGGTATTTCACTGGTAGAAAAGATATAGACAGATTAATTATATTATAAGATTCAAAAGTAAAAGTGAGAACAAGTGTAAATTGTCTAATGAACATCCAAAAATCTAAATAAAAAAAGAAAAGAATACAAAAAAAGAAGTACTTGAATAACACATATCAAATGTGTTGTTCAAGTACTTCTTTTTTTTTATTCTTTTTTCAAATCATTGACACATAACGCTACTAAATTACATTATGTATGCTGTTGGTATAATATTGCATGTTCTTCTTTTAGCAATCTCACCAGGCTAGAACTAGTCAGAACACCAACATTCCACATTCAGGCCCTGTCTTTAGACCTCAAGTCTATGGCACTAAAATTTCGTTGTTCATTAGGAGAAGTTAACATAAAAGGACTGTATAGTGCATTTAATGAAAACTTATACAATCTTATACCAGTTATGGCAGAAGGTCATGTATTGTGAGTATTAATAATTTATTAATATAATATTACAGTAATGTGAAGAGGATTATAGTATTCACTCTAATATTTTCAAAATAATGATAAATTTTAATAAATTAAATTATTCTTATGTGGAACATAAGGTTTTACAAAAATTGGTTTTAGTTACATTACCATATGCAATGTTTCTTTGTTTACTAGATTTATTATTATTTAAAATCGCACAAAGATTTTAATCTTTGTATGTGTTATGAAATTAAATATAATATCTATGAAATTCTATGTTTTAATTCATTTATATTATATATCCTCTCAGGTCTGTCCTTGTGGATGAGGTAATAAGTTTATATATGTAGCAATGTTTAATGATTATTCTCATAGTATACTTGTATCTATCACTGAACATAAGCCTCCTATTCATAATTACATCAAACGAAGCGAGCAAATGAAAATGGCACTGATATATCCATAATATATTGTAATGACTTATGTCACATGTAAAACAATATAGTGTTATAAAAAATATAGATAATTAAAAAGGTATACACCACAGTTATACCAACATATATGTTATGCAATTAAATAATCATAGCTCACTGGGGTCAACTATCGGACAAGGCATGCCACGTTGTGCCTTTCGCACAATCTTTCAATTCAAACACAGTAATCAGATACTAAATAGACACAGGTCCTATTTGTAATAGATGTGGAAGGCTGTCACTTGCTTGATTGAAGCAGGACCTTCAGAAAAACAGTTGATTGTTTTAACAAAATATCTAATGTTCTAAATATATAGTTTATTTCTTTTACTACTAACTTATACCTACTATATACAAATTCACTTTTAGAATGTCATTGTCAAACATGACTGCAGATGTGGATGTTGGTTTAGTGCTAGAAGATGATGCATACTCCTTTATTAACCCTGGAATAGAATTTACACATGATGAGGTTCTTGTAAAGGTGAGTTCTTTTATCTTCTTCCTGGTACAGAGGAATACATTGTTGACAGAGGTAATTTACCATAAAGTTTTTCGTGTTAAGACCCAATTAACAATATAAATACAGTAGCTTCTAAAATGTGATCTGGAATCAAATTACTGGATGTTGTCAATCAAAACGAAGACTTCTTGTCACATCGGGACATTTATAATGTATCAGTGATGTCTCTACTGTTGGTGACTGCAAACCATGATTTTACCAGATATGATGGTTAACATGCCATTAAAAAGAGTATTTATTATTCAACTCTTATGGTATAAAACATCTTTATATGTTACTTGTTTTTCTAATGTAGTATAAAACACTAGTCATATAAAGTGATGTTGGAGAAATACTTTGTTTTTTACTTTTATGCCAAATTTATGTATTTAGTAATATTACATTTTTTTTAAAAATTACATATTACTCTTCCACTGCTTACTGAACTGCAAGTGCTTCATTAAATGGAAGAATTTGAAATAAATCACTAATTAACACAATATGTTTAAATGTTATTGATTACATTATGAGGCAGCATGAACATAGTGTAGGTTTGAAATTTAATAGCTATATACTTTTATCTTAATTAACGATAGCACGTAATTATTTCAAAACAAACACTTCTCGGTGCTTGACAGATAATGACTATGTACTTACTACGTGCGGTTATTGCATTTATTAAAAATATAATGATTTATATTTTTCGGGCTACTCTAATGCTGTTGGCTATAGCTGGCCTTTACAGCTTCATCAGACTATAGACGGCGAGTGCAGATGGCATTCCAAATCCGCGGAAGGCTTACGGAGCGATTGAATGCCAACTCTCGCTCAACGGATACAACTTTAGTCTAAGGGCACCGTTAAGGGTTCGAACCTCTGCTCAGGCCGTCGTAGTTTTGATCCCCGTTTGAATTCGACATAGGATCGATCGGACCTAAATACAGATTGAGATGCCATATAATTACATATATCGCATAATTTTCTTAAAACATTTTGTTGTAGCTATCATGGCCTTCGCCACAAAGAAGCGGCGGATATGAATTTACTACAACAGAGCAACTTGCAAAACATATTGGTAAGTTTAGAAGTAAAACTGTGATACAACCGTTAGTCTGTTACCAGACCATTTGTAATATAAGCATATAATTTATAATAAACCATATTTTATGTAACAAGAACCGGCCCAGTAAATAGCAAAGATTTTTTTAATGCATGATGGAAGGGTGCACTAATGGTTTACGCTGGCGGGGCACCAGATGAGATGAACATGAGTCGCGTCAGTTAGCACATCACAATAAATTCACCAGGAACTTATCACGATAGTTTCCAAGGGAACTGCGTGGAGACCAACCTGACACAGAACATTTCTACATAGAACATAGTAATATATTAGTCCACATCACTAACGACCCTCTTCGCTCCAGTAGCAACGGTTTTTTTAATGGGTGATAATGATGCACCCGCCTGCGCTAATGCTTTGCTCTGGCGGGGCACCAGTGGACGTTGATAAAATGAGCATGAATTCAGGTCATATATCCCATCTTGGCAAATGGCAATTTACCACGATTATTTGCTGGAGGTACCGCGTGGAGATAAACCTGACATGGTACATTGCTATCAATGGGGTTATTAGTCCAAATCACTAACAATCCCCTTCCCCCTAGTGACAAAGTTTGGCTATATACATGAACAATACTACTTACAACACGTTATCATGTGATGATCGTTATTTTCTTGATGTATTACTATTTCGGAGGACTAAGTTGTCAAGCAACGGTAACCTGTAATTTTACTGCAGTTCTACCGTAAGTGTCTCCCATTCAATAATTGTTTTATAATTAAGTATTTTGCTACATTATGGAAATTTTACGTTTTTATCTATACGTTTTATCGGTTCTTTAGCATAGATATGTCCATTTAAACTGAATGGAAATTGTTTCACATCCTAAAGGCCATGTGCGCACACTTGTAGATTTCTGTTTGTGTACTTAACAACTACGTACTAATGATATACCTATAATATGATGTACCTACGCAATAAATTAAAACTTACAGACAACCAGTTTTATAGGAAATATACTTTGACATGCGCCATGACCATACATATCATCTACCAATCGTAATCCGATTAATATGAACCTGCATGAAAATAAAGTCTATCGATTTTAAGAAAAATCATCAAGACCTGTACAGTTTGTCGAAATTCTACGTAACATTTCTCCAAAATAATATATAGTTTAATTAGTAATAGCTTGAAAAAATGTTACAGTAACCCAATACTGAATGAAGTATAATCATCTAACAAAAAAAAGTAACAGATTGAGTTATATCGATTTGAATTATTTTTAAATCAAACTTTTCGATAATATCTATTTAATAAAACAACTCTGATCTGGGTGTTCAGACTGACACTTCCAAATTGATTCATTGTCTGCTTTATAAGCACTGGATCTAAGAACTATACCACTATTAGAGTTGTTATTGGTATGAATGATAATACTTATTGTTTGTCTATTTAGATGACCTGCCTCTGACAGCGGCGATATCGCTACCTCTTTACGCGCTACTGAGAGAGAAACTTCAGAGGCACCTTGCCCTTGTACTGCGGCAGTCCACCAGCATCTCTGAAGTGGTGTGCTGCAACCCTAGCCTCTTAGAAGAATACAGGTATGTGTCATAATGCACCCATTGTATTTGTTTACACATTATCAATACGGGCCCATCTATAAATTGCGTTTACATACACAAATTTATTTTATTTACAGAAAGAATCCAACTCCTTCCGACTCTGGTGTTCGTTACTTTCTGTTTCGAAATACATTCAAACTAAATTATTATTTTTTCTGCAATATTTCATTATAATCTTATTACTATAGTAAATGATGTGTATATCTTTAATTGGTATGTCCTTAAGTGTATATTAAGTATAATGTAAAAGTTAGACTATGCATAAGGAAATTCTGAATGTAGTATTAATAATGTTTATATTAGTATAGTGCTACAATAGTGTTACTAACAAAATTTAAACCCTATTTAACTATGTTATCTCATTTATTTATCGTTCGAAATGAACATTGAATATCGTTTCGAATACAAATTGTGTGCACTTTCTTCAGACAAGGACGTCAAGTTAGACACCATTGTGGGTCATTGGCTCCGAGCTGTGACCCACAACGTAATTCAACCATAAATGTTTAATTCTTTTTTCTTTGCATTACAATACCTCCACGGAGGAGTGAACCAGTTTGTTACTTGCTTATATTGTCATTGAATGCCAGAGACAATAAAATGTTTAATAATTAATAATGTTACCCTATGTTGTGAATGAACATATGTGTTATAAATACAGGACAATTTAATTTATTAAATGCCAACTCATAATTTTATTTATAGTATTAAGTTATGTAGTAAATACATATATTGAATACGGGAATGATTTATTTGGTATTTTGTTATTAAATAATTTGTAATTAATAATAAAATACCTTATAAATTATTCACGACTGTGATCCCTGTAATGATGTTGTTGGTGTTACAATCACCAGAGAGAAATGTAAATTGACACAAACCTTTTGGTGCCAGCCAGATACGAACCTTTTGGCGTAAGTCGATTTAATTGAAAGTTCTAGAATAATTTACTTAATATTTGGAAGTTATTTAACCAGAAATAATGATAGTTTTTTTCTTACCTGAAAGCAGTATAAATGAACCGTTAGATAAACAGTAAACGGTTGCGTATTAAAAATCTAAGTTCCACAAAAAGTGCCGTTATGGAATTAATAAAATGTTAAGTAACAAATTAAAAGTAAAAATAAACCATCCATTGAAAGATTTGAAAGCTTTTATCCCAATCCCAATTTCGATCGTCTACGTGACGTACCATTGTACATGCATAATCCCTTTCTCTCAAATGCAATCACGGGCTAACACTTATATCCAGATAATCCCAAGTAATAAATCCATAATCCATTTGAAATTATCTGTCAAATTTCATCCGAGTCTATTTTGCAGTTTATATTTTTGTTTATCAAGCTGTTTCACGCATCTTTACGTTAGCTCTATAACATTTTTGAAAAATCTTTTTTTAATAGCATTGGGAGTAGTGTTAATACTCGAATTTATATATATTTCAGTAGTATATCGTATTACAAGTTTTTTTTTTATAGTAGTGACAATGGAATGGTGGTCCTGTCTGCGCTATACGGTATACGTTGATGGGAATAGCATAGGATGAGCAATCAGACAGAATTTATCACGTTAAGGTGAACCCGACGTGGTCCATTGCTAGCAATGGGATTATTAGTCCACATCATTACATAGTATAAAATAAAGTGGCTCTCGCTGTCTGTCCCTACGTATGCAAATATTTAAAACTACGCAACGATTCTTTTTAATAGATAGAATTTTTTAAGCGGAAGATGTATATATATATAATAATACATGTACACCTGTGCGAAGCCGAGGCAAGTAGCTAGTCACTAATAATACCGTCCCCCCTGCATTTTAAGTCAATTATAGGCATAAAAAGGCATATAGATTTATAAGAACAGTTATTTTCAACAAAAGAGTACGTCTGCAGTAGAAGTATTTTTTCTATTTTTATACTTTTGTCTATTTTATTTTCCCGCGCAAACGAAATCGCCACAGATACAATATTTCGAACGGCACGCAGCCGCAGTAACATGACGAGCGTGTTATAGCTGCATGAGTTCTTAATACTGAGAAATATTAACAGCATAAATAGGCAAATTACATTTCGCGACTTTGTTCCAATAGCCACAGCCCAGCCGATAGCTGGGATGAAAAATAGTCCTGCTGTTTCTATGTTCTCTTTATATTCTTTTCTATTTCTCTTTATTTCTCTCTAAAATTTCTCAATAATAATAAAAACTAAGTAAAACATACTATTTAGTAACGTAACAAACAAACAAACAAACTAAATTTTGCCGGTTTACCAAATGATTAATGAGATTTCGACGTACAATTAGTCAAGTTTTACTTTCACGACAAACAGTAGTCTACGTACTTCACCAAGGTCAAGTCTTTATACCAAAATGCGTTAAAAGTAGGTGAAAAGGTAAAAGAGACAAAGTTACTTTCGCACATTACTATTGATTGATTATAATTGAATAACTAACTTCCTAACACTGTCAATAACTTTAGGGTTAAGAGTTAAGACAGATATTGAAGTTTTGTATCAAAGTTCAATATCCTCTGTCAACCGCTAAACTATAGAGTACTTTAGCAGTTAAACACACTTACCCTTACTTCAAATTCTCGCGGTTTTAACAGGTATTAATATAATGATTAAAATGTATGTCCATTTACAGTGCCATGGTGGATAGCCTAGCGCAGAACGGTAACAAAATTATAGACATGGTGCTAATCAACGTCAGGAGAACACTGTTGCAAAACCGACGAGAAGTTCTCGAGCTCCCTCCTTTGCACGCAACGTTTTTGCACAAGGTAACAAATAAATCTTCATCTATACCTACATATAATAAAAAATTTTATATATTTTTTATATCGCTGTCTATATATGGATGTTATAGATGAATTTTAAGAGCGTACTTGCAATTACTAGTATCCATTAAATATGTTGTATGGTATACAACACCTTCACTAGGTAGAGAAATTTGACACTCACTCATAGCTACTCACCACGGCATATACTTAAAATAGTCTAATTACAATTTACCATAAAAAGTAATTTACAAGTTCAGGAGGTAAATTATTAAGTTCATGAATAATAAATCCGGTATTTTTTTTTAAATATTGATAAAATAAATAATAATATTTAGACGAAAATATGTTTAGACAATTATTCGGCAATTCTAGTCACGGTCTACTTCAATTACTGCTTCCCATTTGCTTGTCAGACGGTCTATTCCACGAGCGAAGTAGACACGACTATTTGTGGCGATCCACGATTTGATATTGGACAAGACGTACTATATCTATTATATTATCTTACAACTTGGTATCGCCAATTTGAAACAGGCAAACCACTCGATAACTAACTTTTGTTGATTGTTCCTTTGCCAAAAAGTTCGTTGAGATCGCGACATGACTGCGCTGCTTTTCATCCTTTCTCTAAGTGGTAGAGCACAGAGATATGGCGAATATGACTATGGTTTTTGAAATGCATTTTTCGAAACCAATAGACAATGTTATTTTTATACAAAAACTAGTTGTCCCGGCAAACGTTGTTTTGCCATATACCTAAATTAATGACGCTATAAAAAATAGGGGTTGGTGATAGAAGGGTTAAAATTTAGGGTTGTATGTATTTTTAATGACACAATAAAAAAATATAAGTAAAAAGTTTTGCCTAAAAAATAAAAACATAATGTTAGGGGTGGACAATCCGTATCACTTAGGGGTATGAAAAATAGATAGTAGCCGATTCTCAGACCTACTGAATATGCATATAAAATTTCATAAACATTGATCAAGCCGTGTCAGAGGAGTATGGTAACTAACATTAACAGTGTACTGTGACGCAGTAGCGTTTTGTTTATTATCTTATATATAAAATTTTTGAAAAGTATTTCAATGACGAAAAATGCACTAATATAAACGCCGGATCATTATGCATTAACCTAATACAATTAGTAATCTTCTGACAGACTTGGAACCTACTACCTTGTATTGCTAAGTATGTACGTGTTTATATATTGCGATGTATACTGTTAAATTATTATAATAAATAGTTAATATTTTCTTACAGATAGGTTCAATATCGTTTATAGGCAAATTCGAGACGGGTACCGGCTGGGTGAAAAACTTGGCGACTATTAATCGAATAAACGATGTTAGCATAAGCAGGGCCGACCCCCTGAAGACCAGCTTCCATGTCACGCTCACAATAAAGGATTTACAAGTAAGTATGAATAAATAATCTTGTGCAACTCACAACGTTATCTACTATTCTACTAAACAGAGCTTATATTATGAGGTATATTGAACTGATAGACATACTTAAACACAGATTTTTTAATTTATAAATCACTCTGTATACCTAAATAAACTATCTAGCCTATTTTCGTCTAGTAAAACATTAAAACTACGGTTTAAAATGTTTTGAAAAAAAAAAGAAAGATTCTCTAGAGAATCTTTCTTTCTTTTTGATCTATGTTTACATGCTAAAGTGCCACCTAGGTGGCACTTTAGCATGTAAACATAGAAATTAATCTTTAATAATAAAAAACGGATTAATTGCACAGAAACTATAAGCTTTTTCAGTTACTTACTTTACGTTCTAAAAACCAAGTGCTGCATTTCGCACATCAAACTATATAGGAACAGTAAATAAATAAGTGATCAAGTCTAAGTAAGTGAACTAAGTGACAACTGGGAAATATAAACTGAAATGACATTTTAATGCAATATGGCGGTAGATTTGACATATCATAAAAGTCTGTAATAGACCTACATGAATAGAGATATTTTAATTTTACAATTAAGTGCTTTTAAACAGTTACATACAACAAACTATACCTACATTAACAGGGTTTGTTTTTCGGACCACTCTAATGCTGTTGGCCGCAGCTGGCCTTCACAGCTTCACCGGACGATAGTGGGCTAGTGTAGCTGGCACTCCAAACTCACGAAAGCACTTATGGAGCGGCTGAGGGCCAACTCCCGCTTGACGGATATAGGACTAGTCTGAGAGTACCATTAGGGGTTTCTTAGGAACCTCGGCTCAGGCCGTCGTAATTTCGATGCCCGTTTGAATTGGACGGGGAATCGGAGGGATAAACTAAAACAGGTGTGTTAAGTAAGTTAAGCATGGCATGGGTACAGGTGGGTTACGACGAGTACCGAATGCGGGCGATGGGCGTGTCGTGCTCGGGTCGGCTGGCGGCGGCGCTGGCCGGTAGCGCTCTGCATCTCGCGCTGTCAGCGGGGCTCGCGCGGTGGGAGCCCTACGTGCAGCTCGACGACTTGCGGATACAACGCCTCGAGTATGTTCTCATTATACATTATATTTGTTTATTTATTAAGTATGTCTCTTTGACAGCAAGCTTAGCATAGCTTTTCTATCTTTCTTCGTGACAGCAGTCTCAGTTATACTTTTTTACTTCCTGTTTTTTTTTACAAATTTAAAACAAGACGTTATCAAGTTAAGTAGTCTCTGGTTGTTCTGTATTAGAATATTTTTGTAATCAAAATTGTGGTTATTCTTTTTATTCTATGTTGTACTTTCTCGTTTCTTTAATTCTAAATTAAACTTACATAATTATTAAATTATAAGCTTAAAGTAGAGCTTAAATTGAACTAACATAGGAGCCATTTTAGTTTTTCTAGGCCCTTATTTAGATTATTAACGTACATCATGTATAACACTATAGTATCTAATAAACGTAACGTAATCTTCGTATATACTTTTCGTACATGGATTTACTAAGGGATCGTGTTGCAGCTCTATGGACTTACACGTGACGGGCCTGGGCCCGCTGAGCGGCACGGCCGGCGGCGTGGCGGCCTGGGCCCGCGGGGCCGCCGCCTCCCACGCCGCGCCCGCACTCGCGCGGCAGCTGCACCACGAGCTGCACCTCGCGCTCGCCCACCTGCCGCTGGACGAGCTACTACACGCGCCCCACTAGCGCCGCCCGCCCCTCCCCGCCTCCCGCGCGGCGGCTGCACCACGAGCTGCACCTCGCGCGGCCGCTGGACGAGCTACTACACGCGCCCCACTAGCGCCGCCCGCCCCTCCCCGCCTCCCGCGCGGCGGCTGCACCACGAGCTGCACCTCGCGCTCGCCCACCTGCCGCTGGACGAGCTACTACACGCGCCCCACTAGCGCCGCCCGCCCCTCCCCGCCACCCGCGCGGCGGCTGCACCACGAGCTGCACCTCGCGCTCGCCCACCTGCCGCTGGACGAGCTACTACACGCGCCCCACTAGCGCCGCCCGCCCCTCCCCGCCTCCCGCGCGGCGGCTGCACGAAGCTGCACTCCGCGCTCGCCCACCTGCCGCTGGACGAGCTACTACACGCGCCCCACTAGCGCCGCCCGCCCCTCCCCGCCTCCCGCGCGGCGGCTGCACCACGAGCTGCACCTCGCGCTCGCCCACCTGCCGCTGCACGAGCTACTACACGCGCCCCACTAGCGCCGCCCGCCCCTCCCCGCCTCCCGCGCGGCGGCTGCACCACGAGCTGCACCTCGCGCTCGCCCACCTGCCGCTGCACGAGCTACTACACGCGCCCCACTAGCGCCGCCCGCCCCTCCCCGCCTCCCGCGCGGCGGCTGCACCACGAGCTGCACCTCGCGCTCGCCCACCTGCCGCTGGACGAGCTACTACACGCGCCCCACTAGCGCCGCCCGCCCCTCCCCGCCTCCCGCGCGGCGGCTGCACCACGAGCTGCACCTCGCGCTCGCCCACCTGCCGCTGGACGAGCTACTACACGCGCCCCACTAGCGCCGCCCGCCCCTCCCCCCCGCACCACGAGCTGCACCTCGCGCTCGCCCACCTGCCGCTGCACGAGCTACTACACGCGCCCCACTAGCGCCGCCCGCCCCTCCCCGCCTCCCGCGCGGCGTCTGCACCACGAGCTGCACCTCACATTGGGCTCCTCTTCCCTTCCTCCACATGGATGAAAAGGGGATTGTTGGTAATATGGACTAAAGACCTCCACGATTCAACCTCAAGCTCATCTTATTCCTCCACTGGGGGCACCGGTAAGCCAGCGTAAACGGTAACGCAGTCGGGTGTAACATTTCATATTGATCCATTAAATCCCCTCACACATTAATGATTGTGTATCATTGCTCAATACATTTTTAATTACTTTATAAACTAAACTTGTGAATAATGTAGTCGACATGATTTATTTTTGATGTACAGCTTTTTTTGGTTTTAAAGAGTTTTGTATATTTTGATATTTATTTTTTGACAATAATAATGAAGCAATGTTTTTAATGTGATGGTACTATTTGTATCCACTGAGAAAACAATCACTATGTTTGTATCTAGTTATAGTTGTTGTTACCGTTGCAATAAATTATATTATTTCAGTTATTATTATTCTCAAGTATTCTAGACTCAAGTTGCAACAAATTATTTGTGTTACCGTCATTAAAAGCTATAATTAGCTATCCATTATTGTACATGTGAATTGACGACAATGGATGTGAATTGATATACTTTTGATATTGTTTATTAATATGAATATTATTTATTCTGGCGTGAAGACAGATAGATTTTTGATTTCCTACCTAATTTATTCTTAAAACTTTAAATGGTATTATAATAATTGATATTAGTTGTAATTAAAATAATCTCTAATGAATGTAATGTGCAACCACTCCTTGCCGTCGCGGACATCATAAGGGAGCTATTCACAGATACACCAAAACTAGTGTAGGAAAAGTTGTATCATTATATCCTTCACTCAGAAGTTGGTCTTCAGATGCTCCATAAGTTCTTTGGTTTAGAGTGTCTTCTACACTCGCCTTTATTTTTTTCTGGTGAAGCTACAAAGGCCACCTGTAACCAACATTATTAGAATTAGTTAGAAAAAAGTGTTCATAACGTACATTTTCATTAAAATGCACTGCATTTTAATAAACCATTAAATAATGTATTATATATATGTATCTCCATCTGTATGTAGTTACGTTATATACATACGTAATGGTTATTGAAAACTGTAAACTTACTTGTATTTATTATAGCATAAATGTAATAAAAATGTTGTCCGAGTAAGAAAATTTTAACTAAATTAAGCCATATAACTATTGATACATTGTTAACTTGAAAATTGTTAGATTTGAATTAATGTAAATTTAATTTTATATATATTTTGAATATTTTATATTGGTTGTGTGCTTTTTAATGCCTATTAAATTCGTACTTGACACTCTTGCGAGCTAAGTGACGTACCCACTTTCTGTCCAGCTTCAGTTTGCAAAAATCCTCGCAAGACTATTGACGAGTGTCGAGTACGAAGTTTTCGGGTTATATTAAGACTGTTGTACTATATTATACTATACATACAAGATGTTGAATAAAAATCTTTTTTTTCCAACTTAATTTGTTTTATGACTTACTTTGTATTTTAATTAGTACCAATTTAATTCGCAAGCAATGTAAAAAAATCTGATTTTATCCGACTTAACTTCATCCTCATTCATACAAACAAACAATTTCCTCTTCATTAATAAAATATTAATCTTATATATAAAATTCTCGTCTTATATATTCAAAAATTCATGTTCATAAATTCTCGTGTCACAGTTTTCGTTCCCATACTCCTCCGAATCGGCTTGACCGATTCTCATGAAATTTTAGTGAGTGTATTGAGTAGGCCTGAGAATCGGCCAACATCTATCTTTTCACCCCCCTAAATGTTAGGGGTAGTTCACCCCTATTTTTTTTTTTTATATTAGGGCAAAACAAGGTTTGCCGGGACAGCTAGTAATAATATATATATACCAGTTGTGCCTGCAACTACGTCCGCGTGTTGTAGTGACCTTGACCAAATAAAGAAAAATATTAAATATAATGTAAACCAAAAAGTCAAAGAAAAGAGTTTCATCATTCTAGCTTCAAAAATTACTTAAAATTCATAGCCTAAAAAATAAGTTTCAACCTTCTAATTTTATAAATGACGAATTTTATAAGTACCGTAATATGTGTCGTGACTAGTTTACACATCTGACAATAGGTTATATGTCTATTGTTGGGATTTATACTTGTCTGATGTGTCATGACGTGTCGTGTCGTGACTAGTTTTCACATTTATATGTCATGTTGGGACGCCTTCTGACGATATTTTGAATCAATGCAGCTCAATGTTCTCCCATGAGTTATCCGATTCTGATTCAGTTTTTGAAGAAGATATTCAAACTTAAAAACTTTAAAACGATGATGAAAATTTTCATCAGTATTTCAGATTGCCGAAAGCGCAGTTTGAACAAGTACATTCTTTAATTGAAGACGATATAAAGAAAATACATACAAGATTTCGTAAACCTAAAGGAACAAGAGAAAAACTTGCGGTATGTTTAAGGTAAGCATTTTTATTTTGTATCTTTTTATTACAATATTTTGAAGGCAAAAATAATCTATTAACATCAGTAAAGGTCATATTGATATTTCCTTCCTCAAAATTATGAAATACCGATTACACCATTTGTGATGTGGAAGATTGAACGCCACCCGGCTGGAGTTTTTGTTACGGCTAAGAAATAATCCGGTGAGTCATGGTCATTGGTGTAATCATGTTCTTTTCTTTGGAGATTATCATATGTTCTTTTCTATGAAGGTTACGTATTTCGGCTTGTGATATAGCAGTGTGCAAATCTAACTTGATTTTTGTCTGATCTAGTTTAGGAAGACTTTTAAGAGCTTTACTCATGCTCAAAAAAAACAAGTCTGTTTCATCCATGTCCTGCTGTTTGGAAAAATGTTTGTGGAATCTTAAATCGTGTGAAGACTTCATCAAATCATATAGATCCTGTAAATTTGTTTTCATTCGACTAGATCTTTCGGCATGTGAAGACGTTCCAGAATGTGGTGTCTCTAGACAGTGTTCTGATTGATAACTTTGAGGGCTTTGGGGTTCTGGTGAATTTTGAAGCAAATTTAATGGTTCGAAACATTCTGTTGACTCTGGAGACGATATAATATTTGTTGTTGATGGTCTTGATTTTATAAATGGCTGTAAAAAACTCATTTGTTCTTCATATTTCCACGGCGTAACAAGAACAGCGGCTTGCCCACTTTTTTTATTTTTACGACGCTTTAATGCGTTAATATATGCATTTCGTAATTTATTCCAATCATCTTTGCATTTTTCCGCTAAAACAGAATTAAATAATTATATGTTTTTATATTTACCTACATATTTTTGGCAACTAGCAACTCTTTTCGGTCTTTGGGGTTCAATTATCGCATGGGATTTGCTACAGTAAAGATAATAGTAGAAGAAACATGTAACGCAAAGTATTCGCCCCTATTGTAATGCCTCAACATACAGAACAATTTAATGCTGTATTCCTTATAATGATATCAATTTTTATCGGCTCATTTGCTTAGTATACCTATTTATGTTGTAAGTGCCCATATGATCAGTAATATCTACAGTAAATAATGCACCTAACAGTTTATAATTTTAATTACTTTAATATCGCATTTTTTTTAAAATCGTCTTTCAACGACTTTATTCCAAAATCGGTCACAAGTGCAGATGTATAAAAAGGCTATAATTTGAATCCCATAACGTCATAGATAAGTACTTGTAAATTTGTAAATATTTGTTGTTAATCACTGCACAACTGCTTTATGAATTTGAATGAAATTTTGAAAACAGATCACATCGTATTATAATAGCATTGGGGGTACGGGATTGTTAGATATGGACTGATGACCCCATTAGCAACACCATATTATTACCTCCACGCGGTTCGTAGAAACCATCGTCATAAATTCCTGGTGAATTTGTCACAATAGTGATGACCTCATGCTCATGTATCATCCTCCACTGGTGCCCCACCACCGTAAACCGTTAGCGCAGGTGGGTGCACCATTCCATTATCATCCATAAAAAAAGTATACCACCTAATATACCTACATATGTTCATGTAAATTAATGATCAAAAATATTTTTTCAGATAAAAATCCATAGTGAATACAATCTGTGTTCTGCTCTTTGACGTTTTGTGTTAAATTTTTTACTTGCACATAAGCGACCATAGTTTTAAATAATCTATTCGTTCAACCAAGAACATTTGACTGATTCCTGTTTCACTGTTACGTCACTCATTATTATTTTAGCGCTTCATATTATGAGAGTCTATAAAAAATAATTCTATCTGTAAAAATACTTACTTATATAATTTTGTGTCAGAGTATTTTGGACCTGCTGTGCCTTTGTACTGATGCTGCTTATGTTCACCATTGTACTGTTAATGATATGTATATCCGTTGGTTATCACTATGCGCAGAAAGAGATGGCTTCTTTTGCAAGTAAGTTACAATGATTATTTTTCCGCTCCATTTAAACTTGTTGTAATTGCATATTGAATGTTTTATACACGTTAGCCTTTTTGTGATTATTTCATATACTTATGTATTCTAATTAATGTTGCTAAAGCAGTGTTTTTTTTTTCAGTGTCATCAAGATCCACTACAGAGTCGACACTATTGCGAAGTGGACCAGATTCATGTCGTACGACTTGTCGCAGTAAATCATCTCAGGTTCATCATCATAAATATATGTTCTTATATACTTAATTATTTTTATCTAATTGAAATGGTAAACAAGTTAGCTGCATAGCGCTTACTATCAAGCGGTCATTCATATACATGAACATACGAGCATCACGTTACCCGTGATCAATGTGTTGTAATTCAAGAGAACTAATATATCATCCTTATCTAGAATAGAAAATCATTTATTCAAATAAACTTACATTGCACTTTTGTGTTTTAATCTACCGCTCATTCGGAAAGCTGTTTCATCACAAGAAGAACGAGCAAGAAACTTGCGTGTTGCTCTTTTAAATTTTATAACTTTATTCTTACTTTACATTTTTTAGTTTAAGTGTGTGAATACACACTACCAGTTAGTAGCAATCAATTAAATACTCAAATAGAAAAATATTTTTTATTTTTGAGTGTATTTGTAGCCAACATCTATCTTTTCATTCCCGTTTACACATACTGACAATAGGTATATTTTATTTTATGGATTAATACTTTCTGATGTGTTTTTGTCGTGTCGTGACTAGTTTTCACATTTATATGTCATGTTGGGACGCCTTCTGACGATATTTTGAATCAATACAGCCGTAGCTTTAGGACAGGTGACACGTTTTCAATGTTCTCCCATGAGTTATCCGATTCTGATTCAGTTTTTGAAGAAGATATTCAAACTTAAAAACTTTAAAACGATGATGAAAATTTTCATCAGTATTTCAGACCGAAAGCGCAGTTTGAACAAGTACATTCTTTAATTGAAGACGATGTGTACATACAAGATTTCGTAAACCTAAAGGAACAAGAGAAAAACTTGCGGTATGTTTAAGGTAAGCATTTTTATTTTGTATCTTTTTATTACAATATTTTCAAAAATCTCTATTAACATCAGTAAAGGTCATATTTTCTTCCTCAAAATTATGAAATACCGATTACACCATTTGTGATGTGGAAGATTGAACGCCACCCGGCTGGAGTTTTTGTTACGGCTAAGAAATAATCCGGTGAGTCATGGTCATTGGTGTAATCATGTTCTTTTCTTTGGAGATTATCATATGTTCTTTTCTATGAAGGTTACGTACAAACTTGTGATATACAAAAATCTAACTTGATTTTTGTCTGATCTAGTTTAGGAAAAAAGCTTTACTCATGCTCAAAAAAAACAAGTCTGTTTCATCCATGTCCTGCTGTTTGGAAAAATGTTTGTGGAATCTTAAATCGTGTGAAGACTTCATCAAATCATATAGATCCTGTAAATTTGTTTTCATTCGACTAGATCTTTATATGAAGACGTTAGAATAAAAACAGACAGTGTTCTGATTGATAACTTTGAGGGCTTTGGGGTTATATGAATTTTGAACAAATTTAATGGTTCGAAACATTCTGTTGACTGGAGACGATATAATATTTGTTGTTGATGGTCTTGATTTTATAAATGGCTGTAAAAAACTCATTTGTTCTTCATATTTCACGTAACAAGAACAGCGGCTTGCCCACTTTTTTATTTTTAACTTTAATGCGTTAATATATGCACGTAATTTATTCCAATCATCTTTGCATTTTTCCGCTAAAACAGAATTAAATAATTATATGTTTTTATATTTACCTACATATTTTTGGCAACTAAAACACTCTTTTCGGTCTTTGGGGTTCAATTATCGCATGGGATTTGCTACAGTAAAGATAATAGTAGAAGAAACATGTAACGCAAAGTATTCGCCCCTATTGTAATGCCTCAACATACAGAACAAATGTGGAGAGAAATTGCGAAAGGATTCGAAAATATATGGCATTTTCCGAACTGTAATGGAGCAATGAGAGGGAAACACGTAACTACAATATGTCCCATAAATACAGACTCAACTCGTGCAATGTATGGGACATCCATAAATGCAGGCTCAACCTTTTATACAATTATAAAAAAACAACCATCCTACTGCTTGCACGAGTTGAAGCTCATTACAGATTTATTACGATAGATGTAGGTGCGTATGGTCGCAATAGTGATGGTAGCATGTAGATGATGATGATGATGTGTTCATGGTAGTATATAGTATAATTAAATAAAGCAGTGAAGATACTTACGAGGTTGTTTTAATTTTTCTCCTATCTCCTCCCAAACAGCTGTCCTAATAGAATTATCTTTATATTGTTTGCATTTTGTATCATAAATCACCTTATATTGTCGTACAATTTCAATTAAGTCGTCCATATTTGAAAATGAACCTACATGAAAATATACAGAGGACTCCGACGCGTCACAACACAACACTCCCGCTTATACATTAGTCTGACGTGTCATGACGCTCTGTTCCCCCACCCCTCCGCAGCTCCGCTCTGACTCAGCCGCGATCGTTTCTAATGAGACAACAGAAACCATCACAACACATTACGCATTACTAGTTTGAACGTTACCATACTAAATGTGCTAAATCGATACCTTTCTGACGCGTCATGTCACGTTTCGACAAATATAAATCCACCTCTTCATATTCATTCGTCACACTGACGTCGATGACACATTTTAGAAGAATGCAGTTTAGATATTTGTCATAAAATTTTCATGAGATCTTTTTATTTTAATGCTGTATTCCTTATAATGATATCAATTTTTATCGGCTCATTTGCTTAGTATACCTATTTATGTTGTAAGTGCCCATATGATCAGTAATATCTACAGTAAATAATGCACCTAACAGTTTATAATTTTAATTACTTTAATATCGCATTTTTTTTAAAATCGTCTTTCAACGACTTTATTCCAAAATCGGTCACAAGAACATAGCGCTAGATACTATAAAAAGGCTATAATTTGAATCCCAGTAACGTCATAGATAAGTACTTGTAAATTTGTAAATATTTGTTGTTAATCACTGCACAACTGCTGAATGAATTTGAATGAAATTTTGAATTCAGACAGATCACATCGTATTATAATAGCATACAACCTTGGGGGGTACGGGATTGTTAGTAATATGGACTGATGACCCCATCACTAGCAATGCACCATATCAGGTTGACCTCCACGCGGTTCGCCCTGGAAACCATCGTCATAAATTCCTGGTGAATTTGTCACAAAGGGCTAACTGACTTGACCTCATGCTCATCATATCATCCTCCACTGGTGCCCCACCACCGTAAACCGTTAGCGCAGGTGGGTGCACCATTCCATTATCATCCATAAAAAAAAGTATACCACCTAATATACCTACATATGTTCATGCCGTAAATTATTATATGATTTCAATGTTTGCTATATTTTTTCAGATAAAAATCCATTATGGGTGTAATACAATCTGTGTTCTGCTCTTTGACGTTTTGTGTTGAGAGGTAATTTTTTAGACTTGCACATAAGCGACCATAGTTTTAAATAATCTATCTCGTTCAACCAAGAACATTACCTGACTGATTCCTGTTTCTTACTGTTACGTCACTCATTATTATTTTAGCGCTTCATATGTTATATACCTCAGTCTATAAAAAATAATTCTATCTGTAAACGAGTACCTACTTACTTATATAATTTTGTGTCAGAGTATTAACTTGGACCTGCTGTGCCTTTGTACTGATGCTGCTTATGTTCACCATTGTACTGTTAATGATATACGGTATATCCGTTGGTTATCACTATGCGCAGAAAGAGATGGCTTCTTTTGCAAGTAAGTTACAATGATTATTTTTCCGCTCCATTTAAACTTGTTGTAATTGCATATTGAATGTTTTATATACGTTAGCCTTTTTGTGTTTATTTCATATACTTATGTATTCTAATTAATGTTGCTAAAGCAGTGTTTTTTTTTCAGTGTCATCAAGATCCACTACAGAGTCGACACTATTGCGAAGTGGACCAGATTCGAAGCCTGTCGTACGACTTGTCGCAGTAAATAGATCTCAGGTTGAACACGCGCCACATCCCATGCTAGGTAAATATATGTTCTTATATATCTTAATTATTTTTATCTAATTGAAATGGTAAACAAGTTAGCTGCATAGCGCTTACTATCAAGCGGTCATTCATATACATGAACAGCGCTACGAGCATCACGTTACCCGTGATACCACTCATGTGTTGTAATTCAAGAGAACTAATATATCATCCTTATCTAGAATAGAAAATCATTTATTCAAATAAACTTACATTGAAGCACTTTTGAATAGTCATCACATTTTGTTTTAATCTACCGCTCATTCGGAAAGCTGTTTCATCACAAGAAGAACGAGCAAGAAACTTGTGTGTTGCTCTTTTAAATATTATAACATTATTCTTACTTTACATTTTTAGTTTAAGTGTGTGAATACACACTACCAGTTAGTAGCAATCAATTAAATACTCAAACAGAAAAATATTAAGTACACAACCAACTGGTTAAACAATTAATAAGAGGAAATCAGTCATAGTGATTAGAGCTGACCAGTCCTGCAATTTCAATGCCTAACACACGCTACAACCGAAACACAGCTACACACAAAGTAAGCTGCTTGATTGCTGAAATAGGTAAGTTTGAAGCACCAAGCAGAAATTTTATATCATAGGTACATTATATAGAAATAGAAATACCTATTTTTGTAATAGATTCTTATTAAGGGAAATCTTATTATATGATCACTATAAACTTAACAAAATAAATCAAGATTAAGCATACGCATGTACTTACTCCGGAATGGGTTTAAAATTACAGTTGGTTGGTTTTTCTTTATTTGCCCACTTTTGTTCATCACGAAGTTTTTAGGCATATTTAATATATTTACAGAAGTATATCAAACTAAGAAACCAGGAGAACGAATATATATAGAAACTTCAGAAACTGCAATTGTTGTGCTTGAAACAGAGAGGTTAGTAAATAGATTCGATAAGTAGGTAAACAGAATGCTGGAATCCGGTGAACGAACTCTATGCGTGCATATTGAGGTACGGATCTGGGTATGTCTCAAAACAACAAAATTTATTTTAAAAATTTGTTTCCTTGTATAGAAATAAAGGAGAATCCAAAACCGAGAAATTGGTTTACGCCCATGTTCATGCTCCTACATCTACGATTTGTCTGATTATTTTATTTTTGGAACGTACCCTATACATGAATTATAGAATGACAGGCCACCATGTCAACTGTCGCCTATATACATGAGCAGTAAAACGGACAATAAGCCATCTTTGAAGGCCGAACGACTCCCAATGAACCCATGCGTTGTTATTCCAGATTAGTCCTCTGGATTTCGTGCTTCCGTGCTTTGTTACTACCTTAATATGCACCTTACTATCGAAACTCATCTTACACAGCAAGCTGCTTGGTGGCTGAAATATGTGAAACACAAGTTGCCACGCTTCTAATTATAAAAAGTCAACCTCGGTCAAACCGCGGTACTATTGATTGCAAATTTTGTCAAATATATTTTTTCAAATAAATCTGTTATACCTACCTAATTATAGACCACCAAAAGAACCCGAGCTGTCGCCTCACGAGAAAGACCTCGCACGCAGACTGATCGGTCGTTTTCGCCGTTCACGAAATAATACTACCACAGCAGTACCATTCTTGAGGCCGCTACGGATCAGCACTCAAATCATTTCTGTACCCACATGATGTGAGGGTTTCAGTCGATCAATGACTTAGTAATTTGAAATTATGCTTACATATTCAAGGAAAATATCCTCCAAATTTGTTATTCCTTCAAAGAACTATATGTATGCTCTAATTAAACAATTTTATATATGTAAATTTTTTAATTCCTATTCAAAAGTTAACATGTGTATGAAATAGTCAAGAACTTAAAACGTTTGTTATATGACGAAATGTTTCGATAGAAAACACTTGTATCATGCATAATGCTTAGTAATTTAAAATTATGATTCTATATTGAAATAATATCCTGCAATCAAAGTATGGTATTCCTTCATATATATAGAACATATAACATATTATGTTATCTGTGATAGACCTTTGTTTTATTTTAATTAAACAATTTTAGATATGTAACGTGTTTAATTCATATTCAAAAGTTTAACTTATATTTAAAGCATGCATATGAATTAATCAAGAACTTGTAATATTTGTTATGTTGAAAGACAAAATGTTTCGATAGATAATACTTGTGTAATTTAAATGTTTGATATCCACCGGCGTGTCTGCTTCTCGGCGTGCAATTTTATGTGCGAATCCCCGCCTGAATGCTTTGTCCACCGACCGCATCACATTACCTGTGGTCACCGTTTCTTGGCCTGAACGCAGAGCGCCTGCTGATTTGGCAGCCTTTGCTAAAAAAATACATAAATACAATAACGACTGTATAATTTTTGCAAAGTGCATATGACGGCCTCGATGTTCTAGCGGTTTATCACACCGTGATACTTAAGATGGTCGCGGTTTCGACACCTAGCACGGTGCAAACTTTTGTATTCTTGAGTAGGATTGTTTGTATATTATACTAATCTAGATGTTTTCTATGTATATTATATATTTAATCACACACACATCGACTTACCCATAGCATCCACTGAATTTGAGACAAAACAATAATGATAACCAATTCCAATACCAAGCACCATAACCGATATAATTGTGAACAGCAGACAACATGTCAGCATTGCACATACGGTACATAGGGATATTCTAAAAAATATCAAGTATTAGTCTATATTACTTCAAAATTGATATAATATTTAATGAAATTTTACGATACGGAGGATCTGAGAGCGACGTGGCATAGTAGTTTAATAGCCCGATTAAATCTAAAAGATTCGAAAGATTGACTCTCCATTAAACGGAACACCGATGGAGGAAGGAGATTGTTGCTTAGGGGGGAAAGGGGATTGATAGTGTTAGTTATGTGAACTGATCATATTGCTAGCAATGTACCATGTCAGGTTGACCTCCATGCGGTTCCCCCTGGAAACCACCTTGATAAATTCTTAGTGAATTTGTCACGATGGGCTAACTGACCTGACCTCATGCTCATCTTATCATCCTCCACTGGTGTCCCGCCAGCGTAAACCGTTAGCGCAGACGGCCGCACCATTCCAATATCATACTTAAAAAAAAACTCATAGCTAGCAGTGGGAAGGCGATTGTTAGTAATGTGGATCCCATTGGTCAGGTTGATCTCCACCTTCCCTCATGAAGCCATCATGATAAATTACTGACTCATGCATATCTTGTCATCCTTCACTGGTGCCCTGCCATGTTGAATTCAAAATATACACAACAAAATATGGAAATGCCTCTGATACTACTCCACCTGAGATAATAGTCGTGATAGTACAGTTGTTTGTGTTTTATTGGATACGAAGGCATGTCACCATACTCAGAAATGGCAAAATGTGTGTATACTGAGTTGAGTATCACATAACGATGTCCGTGGTGCTGTTTATGTACGAGTATATAGGCGACGTTTACTAAATTCTATCATGTCGCAAGCTCGCTCTACAGTCTAATTACATTATATATTTTTTTCTATTAGAACCAATGCTACTAGTAGGTAATACCTTTCCAGAGCGTCTAGAACAACAGAAATGAAGGAACTCAGAGAACAACATACACAGCCCATTTCGTAATCCTAATATCTGTATTAAAGAAACTGAAATTTACACGCCCGTTTAAAAAATTATGGGTACCATTTAATAATTATTTGTTTATATTACATATTCAGTAAAACCAATAAAAATACGTAGGTATATATAACTGAACTGACACGTGTCAAGTGTAATGATATATGAAACCTAAATAGCTCTTTAGCTGCATGTCGTACAATGGACAATATAAAATTTGGATACATAATATATTCTCTCCACTAGTCGCCTCTATTACAAACGGATAAATAAATAAATTATATAAAAATTTAAAAATATCCGAATTTAAGGCGCTTATATGACTAAAAAATTGTCATATGCGTATAATTCGGTAATAAATAAGTTGTATCGGACAATAACTATCTACTAATCTTAATTAAATAAAGTAAGGTCACCTAGAGGTTCTTTGTTGAATGACTGAGTTATATTAGCAGGTAGGAGGAATTCAAATCAGGTGTATAACGATGTCAACGATGTGTTCATCAAAAATCATAATTCATTAACGCCAATGAAATAAAGTAATCAATGTTAGGGAAGTCAATATAATCAATATAATCCTGACAATATTAAATATATGATTGCACAAATTCATAATTATTAGTAAAACTTGGTATATTGTAGTTAAACACAGTGGAAACACCACGTGTCTCCTATTAATTAAAATATTTAAGTTTTATACGTTTACGTTTTATTATTACTATGTTCACAGAATGATGTTGATACGTTTTTTAATTTACCACACTGTTAATATGACATTGAAGTGAATTTCATGTCACTTAATACTATGTCACTGTCAAAGTGTCAAATGCGGTAGGTTACAGCAAACTTAATTTTAGAAAAATAATAAAATATGGCAGAAGAAAACAATTCACAAAAGAAAGAGGATTCCAAGAAAAAACACAAACGTTTTCCAAACAAAAATTATGCTGTTAAAAAGAGGCTACCGCTTCGACCAATTGATGGGAACAACGTGATCTTTATTACGAAGAAAACAAATTTTAAGGTAAGTAATATCAGAACACCTGTACATATTTTGTGATTTATCCATTCATTGAATTTATTTCTTTTAGGCGCAATTGGACAAGTGTTGTGATCTTCTTACTAAAGGTGAAAAGGAAATAATACTCCACGGTTTAGGAGCTGCCATTCAACGGTGCTGTAACCTAGCTTTGCAGCTTGAAATATTGTTTTCTGGTACTTGTCAAATAGAAGTTAACACAGGCACAGTAGACTTAGTTGGTACGTATTATAGCAATCCTACCTGTTTATTTTTGACTATACAAACATATTCATAATTAGTGCAAATATATTCTATATAATAGTGTAGTATCTGTCTAGTGTTCAGATACTCAGTTGGTGTGGTCAGAAGCAGTTGATAATACATGTGCCTATCCCATCTTCAATATGAAGATATGCTATATACTGTTATCATGTTAAAATTAATTTAACAGGTACCATTATTCTTGTTGTTGCAAGAGTCTTTTTTATATGATTATACTATACTGCAAAACTATTATGTGGATAAGTACCTCATCCAGATTGCTCAGAATACAAAATGTCTCATTACCTTGCCTTTTTCTATAATATTTTGTAAATAATTTAAATATACTGACTATATGTATAATATCCCTGTACTCTACTTTGCCTCGGATGATAAACAGTTAACTCTATGTTAATAATTCTTTTTTATGCTAGTAATTAGTATCAACTTTCTATATCTCTTTCATTGTTTTTACATGTCTATAACACTTATATACTTACTCCTTGAATGGACTCATAGCAGTGTAGCTTATTATTTTCATTCTTATATAGGAATAAATAAGCATTACAATATTTAATACAAGGTACATCCTTTGTAACAGTAGATAATATAATTAAAAACTTTAACCTTTTTGTAGATGATTTGGAGCCTTTGACTGACGATTTCGACTTTGGAACACAGGTCAGGCATACATCATCAGTTCACATAAGAGTGTTTAGAACTGCAATGCTTGGCGCGAACCAGTAAAACAAAATGTTTTTCACACTGAATGAAATAGTGCAGTGGATTGGACTCACTGTTTTTGAAATCTGGATAAACTTAATTACCATAACTATTTTTTCTGTTCTGTTGACATTGAAAATAGATGGTCTTGTAAATAGTGCATGGTGGACAATATTTGCCCCATTATTTGTAAGTGATGCAATGAATGCATACTTCTGTTGTATTGTGTGTATAAGAATGAATTTAGAGAACTCTTACAAAGCATCATTATACAGAGCTTCTTGGAGTGCAATATTCCTAGGTTTAACATTTGTTTTTAAATTCCTTTTGTGTAGAAAGCTCCAAGGTGATTCTGCCATTGAATATAGTGAAGTGTTTGCACCATTATTTATACTGTTGCAATTAATAGCTGTAAGAGCTTGTCAACTACATCAATAAATTTATACTAAATGTAAGGTAACTACTGTCATAAAACTTTTGTATATTTATTAAAACAGTGGTATTAATATAATCTTTAATTTTAAAAAGTATTCCAAGGATGTAACTATTTAAATAATTATGAATAATATGTGAAAAAAAAGTTAATATGATAATTAAAGAAAGTCAAAATCTAATGAAACATACTAAATAATCCACCCCTATTTTTCTTTTCGTCATCACCAAAATTGAAACTAAAATTATTATTTTGTTGATTCTGTATACCTAGAGGTTGGTTGTTTGTTTCTGTGTTACTGGAACTTCCGAAAAAGGAAAATGCTGATTTTCTAAGGCCTGTTAGAAATAAATATTATTGTTAAACAGTACACACCAATTGCCATAAAAATAAAGAACTAATTTTAATTCTTTTGTTAATTGTAAATAATGAACCTGAAAGGAAATTAGGAACTTCTTGAGATAAAACTTCAACATTCTCACTTCCAGGAACAATGTTAGCCTTAGGAGATAAAAGCAAACTGGAATCTGTAACATATTAAAATATAAAAATGGCCACATAAATTACTTTTAAAAAATCATGATATCTCCTATATTATTTCTATCTTATTTAAAAGTAAAAACATCTCGTCTTTACAGTGGCTGTGAATTCTGTGAATAACTAGTCCCACCAGTACTTGATCAATTCATGAGCATACTCGTGTAAGGTTCAAATTATATAACAGGTCACATAGATAGTAGCAGAATTACAAATAAAGTATAGATACAATTTCATCAAACTAACAAAGGCTATGAATAAATCGACATAAAACTAATATAATGAATTATTTTTGACATGTATAAAATACCAATACAATGTGGAAAATCTTCCCCTTCTTCAAAACCTGTTGTACTTATAGATACATTCAAAGAATCGGGAATTCCCTGAGTTCCATGACTGAATAGTAATCCCGTTAGAGTTTTATCTATTTTCACTATGTTATTCTGAAATATATGTATAATAAGTTAAAATAATAATACTAGTAAAAAGATACTGTTGTCCAGTCCATTAAAGGGCTTAGTATAAAAGAATTGGCAATAAACTAGACTCAAACCATTACTAATCTTACAAATTGAACATTTTGGGATAGGTACTGCCTTTGTCTTCTACTACAATTAATAAGAACAGACATAACAAATATTTAGTTCAACTTACTTCTTGCATAGCAACCAAATTGCCTTCATTTAAATCGGCACTTTGATTTTTAATAACATGATCTGTTTCTTTAATATTTTCATGTGTTTCTTCAACTTCCACTACTTTTTGTATGTCATTTTCATTTAAATCAATATCTGAGACTATGTTACTGTGTTGAAAGAATTTGGAAGTAATTACTTTGTCTTCATTTCTCTATAATATTAAATATGTGATCATTTATTAATTGATTATTAAATGCATTGCATTTAATTACATAAAAAGTAGATACCGTTTGCAAAACAGTGTTTTTTGCATAAACAAATTGTGGTGATAAATCCAAATTGTGTTTCTTCAACATCATGTCTTTAAGTTTCGTGTAACTCTCAGCACTAACGTGACTGGCATTCAACTCACTGTTTATGCTTTGATCAATAGCAATCACTTCGTCATTATCGTCTCCATGTATTAGAGTAATATTTTCTTCCGGAATTGGTAAATCGAAGGATACCTTTTTCTTAGTAGTGCTTTCTTGAGAGTTCTAATCAGAAATTAAATTAAAATCTTAAACTTACTTTGATTTAAATTAAAGGAAGAATATCACATAATTTAATTATCTAAGCTCAACTGTCATAAATGCAACCTAGATTATACATTTTTGTATTATATGTGTATATGATATATATTTTAAAATTATTCAATATGAAATACTGTATGTGCTAATTGCATACGCTTGAAGGGCAACAGTGGAGGATGCTAAGATGAGCATAAGATCAGGTCAGTTGGCCCATGACGATAAATTCACCTGGAACTTGTCACATGATTTTCAGGGGGGATCGCGTGGAGGTCAACCTGACATGGTACATTGGTAGCAATACGTTCATTAGTCTATATTACTAACAATCCCATTTCTCCCCTGATTGATTAGAATTATTTAAATCGTACCGCGGTTTATAAAATAGCCTTGTACGTATAAATACCTTCATTATATAATTTGTTTTGTCAGGTAAAGATAAATGTACCACTACTTCCACTGGTTGTTGGAAGGAACTACAAAGGGTTTCCTAAAATGGCAAATGACACTGATAGTGATAAATGAACTCCTGTTATAATACTCATGTACAATTTAATACTACTTACACAAGTAGCCTGCGACAAATCCAAGAATTGTGTTGGTGGTATAATAATACTTTCGGTTGGCTTCCTTATATTGGTATTTGTTAAATCTATCTCTTCTATCTGCTCGCTTTCTTGTACTTGCTGCTAAAATACACTAAGAACTAGTATTGGACCTTTATATATAAGTAAATTTTATTATGTATCTACTTATACCTTATAAACTAACCTTTTCCTCAGTAACTTCTACACCATCCTTCACAATATCTGTTCCAATTGTAATAACATCTTTGAGTGAATCTCGTTTTACTTTAGATATTATTTTATACGTATCGTTTTTGTCAATTTTTATATCTTCCAAAATATTTATTAATTTCTTTTTCGAAAAATTATCTTTGCTACTATCATAATTTAGGTACATGACCTTATCTTCAGTGCTAATGGGTTTGTTAAAGTAGTAAAATAAACTGGTCTCCTCTTTCTTTGGTCTCTTCATAGTTGCTTCCGACTCATTCGTTATGGAGTATGTCCTTTTTGAACTAGTAGATTGTATTAATTCCGTTTTCTTAATTTTTATCTTAAAATAAGATATGTATAAAATAATAGAAATACAGTTCACTATTAAGACATTAATAGATATTAATATATTTACCTGATCTAATTTAGAACTTAAATCATCAAATTCAGTGCTGAGTAGCTGTAGTTTCGGCAACTATAGTAAAAAAGTAAAGAATATATTAATTAAATAATTAAAAACTAAAGGCATAAAAGTATTTATAATAAGTAATAAATACTCGTAATGTTTCATGTATACTGTTCAAAATTGGCCAATCGTCATCATGTTCTTTAAACTTCTTATCGGATTGATCTACAGTTGGGCGCACCTCATCCTTAACTGTATTTAGTATATTATCTTCATTTGCTCTACACTCCTGCTCTTTAAGTGTCTTATTTATTTCTTGCTCTAATATCACAATTTCTGCAGATTTTGCTTTTATTTCCTTTTTATATTGTGCACCTTCATTAACAAAAAACTTAGCGAATGCAATTACGCGAGATTGATCTAAGCTAAGCAAACATATTTTCTTCTCTAATATTTGGTTAACTAAACTTTTAATTTCACTTTCTAAAGCTATTATACTTTCTTTCATTACTTGAACCTTATTTGTAGATTGAACTAATTTCTGTATTCTAGGTATACTCTCATATCTGCTTTTACATTCTAACCAAAGATTTTCGTACTTTTCTTGACCCTGTGTTACTCTTTCATGAATTTCGCATTTTCTCTCTTGTGCTAATAGACACTCCTTTTTTAACTCAATATTAGCAGATTTAATAGTTTCATTGGCAATTATTAAGCTGCAATAATTATTTTTAATTAAAATCAGTACGTTTTTCTGATTAATTGAAGAAACATGCTCAGCTACAGCTACTCATTTGAATTCTTCAATATTTAGCGGTTTTTATTTGATTTAAATAGTTAACAAAAATTCTTAAAAAGTGGACATTGAGAACTTAAGAGCACGTACATAGTGATCTACTACACTCCCATGAAAGGTTACCTTGCTGGAAGGTAACCAGGAAGGAGAGAATCTGTTTTGCAATCAAATTACGTTTGACCTTATAGCGCCCTCGGTAATTGGGCTTGTTTGCAACTTCACAGCGACATTGTATCTACGATATTGCTTTGAAACAATATTGGTTTCAGCAATGAAGTCATGTATTGAACTAGTCAGTACAATATACCAGATTTAAGTAATACACGCACTCAGTAATACACACTCATAATATATTCCGCAAAAGAACTATGTAAGTAATCATTGAAGTGTCATTAATCAGTAGGTAATCGATTGTCGTGACCATCACCACATGTTTATTTTACGAGAATGGCCATTTCCATCTCGTGGCTCACAAGCTTGTTTGTTATTCTCGTTGGTACACAAACATATTTAGTTTATCTGAGTAAGCATAAATTAATTATTTTTATATTATTTAATAGAAAAAATTGCAACACTTGAAGAACTCTACCTATAGTAATAATATTACTAATATTACATTTACATTTTATATTATGTCCTAAAACTAGTTACTAGGTGTAATGAAATTCTATGGTCAGACTACCCACTAACAGTAAAACAGATGCCAACCGTTACTACGTTACCGTCATTCATCCAAGAAACATATGAAATAATTAAAACTTATGAAAGTAGGAAAATATATCAATGTACATATACAATGAGAAATTAAACACAACAGAAGAGAAACAATTATAACTAAAACTTACCGTCATTGTCACTATCATACACCTATATTAAATAGAATACTGATTTTGGACTTGCATTGTGTAGTTTAGCATTATCAAACGAAGTATGATCGCTGTCCTACTTACAACTTATAAGGTAAGGTAAATGTGAAAGTTTGTAAAGATGTTACGATATTTGTTTGCCATACTTAACAGCTGAACAAATTTCAATACAAACACAAGTGGCAAGGGTCACGAATTACCACCAGGAAATAATATGCACTGGAATTTTTGATATTTTTTTTTTATTTTTCATTCAATTATATAAATATGTATTGAATACCTGTTTATCTCCTGTTCAGCTTGTTTTATTTCAGCTTCTAACTTCTGATTACTATTACTTATGATAATGCAAATTTCTTTTTGTCTTTCCGATTGTTTTTTTAATTTGTTAAATAAAAATGCTTGAGCTAAAACATGTAAATGACAATACCTAAATAATAATAAACAATACCTACGTCACAACGCTCCCTGTGTTGTCTATCTACTAACGTGTAATTCCTAATTAATTTACCGTGGTTCCCTGGCAGCATGCGCAACAGGCTGATGATAATTCCACTATCACCCATATATCGAAAACCCCCGCTACCTTTTAGCCGGTATTCTCGGTATCAAACATTTCTGATTATTTGTTTTGCTACACTTTGGTAGATCTGGACAAGTTGCTAATTTTAACAATGCATAATTAGGAGCTTATGAGCTCATTTCAAATTCATATGTTTAAAAATATAAATAAAGTTGCCTTTTTAATTTTAAAATACCTATTTTAAGATCAGCAACGTTATAATATTACTTTCATTGAGAAATTTCATACTGTATATGTGTATGGTAAGTATATACTTACTGAATAAAATTATAATAATAATAATAATATAAACCAAATTTAAACAAACGTTACTAATATTTTTACCTTTAATACAGTGACTCGAAAGAGTAATTTTTATTTGGGTTTCATTAACTTGTGTTGAAATTTTTTCCAACGCTTGAACGTCGTTATTTTCTGCCATTTTTACACAATACTGTTCGCAAAGCATTTACGATAATTGGCGGGAATCATGACTTAATAAACCCGTATTTTTTTTTATGAACGAACCATAGTTTTAATTCTTTTCTATTTTATAGTTTTAATAATTTTGTCACTTTTTATAATTTTTTATTCCTATACATATAGCGTACAGATTTCATGTTTGTATGAAATATGATGAAATTAATTACAAGACTTGAAAAAGACGAAACATTAAATTTCGTCTGTATATTTTAGAAACTGTACTTTTGTCAATTTAACTGCAGATTTAAGAAGTAATAATTTGTAGTTCTTATGTCATGCTGAAAACAACATATCATTTAGCATACCCAGTACCCACTAAGTAGCAAAGACAACGGCTGTATGGGCTTAGACTCCCATAAGGATAAATAAAAAAAAAAAGAAAAAGTAAGTATATACCAGAGGAACAAACCCACACTTTACTTCCGATTTCATTGATGAAATCGGATATTGATATCCATTGAGCAAATAACAATTAGGTATTATGAACCTGAACCATCTATTGCGATTAGCTTTATTTTTGTCTTTTATTTTGTATTGGACATGAATGTCTACTTTAAACCACTTTATAAAAGAAACTACGATTATGTAGGCTGTAACATATAATAATATATTGCGGGATTCCTGAAGTAACCAATAAAACAAAAAATATCAATACCTAAAATTTATTAAACAAAATAAGTGTCTCATAAAGTTATTTAAAATAACAGACATAAATGATAACTTGAAATACAACCTAGCATTCTAACTAAACCAGGTACTTTTCATAAATTTATCCCACTATTATAAAAGTAAAAGGACACACACTGACGAATGCAGCACGAAGGAATTTTGGCTAACACTAGTGGCCAAATCATACATTCACTGAATCATGCGCATAATTTTACGTTTGCACTAAATTTTATTAGTTCAACTATTTAAGAACCAACCAGTTTAGATTTTATTGTATAAAAAACAGATTGCAATTAGCAATATCCAAAAAGAAAAAAAAACAGCTATTTATTAACTAATAGCAAATAGGGCTTCACATTTTGTTCAATAATACCAACTAGACAGTGTTTCATAAACTGAAACAAAACCTAAACCCGGCATCGTCTCTCTATATGAAGAACGATTGATAAAACTAATGATTTCCATGAAATTAAGCAAACAAAATCAATGAGAATATATTGTTCAAGAGATGCGATAATTATTACCATTTCTGAAACTTAGGCTGGACATCTAGTAGTATTTTTGATCAAAATTTTCGAATACAGTGAGTGTTCTGCATATTTAAATACTAATATATGTTTGATTTAGAAATAAAGCAGTGCAAACGTATATTACTGACAGCACCTTTACAACAATTATTTCAGAGTACTCTTCAAAACAGAGTGACACTTAACATTCTCACAGACATTCATAATACTGTTAGCAAAATTATAATTAATCTTTTTGTCAAACGAGTGTTTTATTATATGAATACTCATACTACACACTCGTCTCTCTAAAGGTATACCTTGATCAGATAACAAAGCAATAACTTACATATATTACGTTTGTTCACAAACACCTGTTTGAATGTCATTAAATCCTATTTTTATATGTTGTAGTACATACAATATTTCACATCTAATTTTTGTCTTACAATTGAAAAAAGCAGTGTTACCTGTTCTAATCTAATATTATTTGGCTTCACTGTCTGGGCTCTATAAGTAACTTTATGATTTGAAATATAATATGGCGGCGTGGAGTGCGATATATACATATAGTGGTAGCACTACAATTTAAATATGTGGGAACTAAATGCAAACAAAATAATGGAACACTGGATGGCAAAACAATGCGGGCAATACATAATTAGATCTAATTAATGGCGTAAATGAAAATCAAATTATACTAGCAATGACAGGGAATGTCAATTTGATAATTACACATTATCACGATGCAAATTAAAGCGAACCACCATACTTAAGAAGTCAAGAAGCGAGGATCAAATCAAAAGCATGTCTGCATTTGGAACAACTTAATAGTAATACTTAAAAATACAAGTTTAAAATACCTACTGGGTCCCACTTGAAAATTATATAAATTTAATATTAACGTAGTTTGTACCGCCAACATTCACTAAGTGCGACAATTACAATGCAATTACATAAAAAGAAATGAAGCGTTTACTACACTAGAGCGCGGAGCCGGCTCGAACTGTACAAAATAATAATACCCTGTGTCCTTTTTATGTAAATACACAGTACCATATTTAATTTCTTATATTTAACAGATACATCAGTCGAACAGTATATATTTTTTATGAGAATAGCAATTCAACAACATCGAAACATCGTCGGCGAGCTACAAACGTACTTTCGCAAACTCCACAGGCGGCGACCCGGCCGACCTCGTCGACCTCGGCGAACGAGACGCGTCGCCCTCTCTCCTGGAAGTTGCCACAATTTTGATATTTTTTCTACGAATCATCCGCGCGGCCGCGGCTCGCGAGATAGTCTCATTAACTGTAGGGCTGCGGCGGCAAGATCTCGGTGAGCAGCCGCTTGAGGCTGTCGATGCCGGTGAGGAAGCCGCAGTCGGGCCCGTGGTGCGGCGTGGCGGTGGCGAGCGGCGACTCGGCCGCGGCGCCCGCGTACGCCGTGTGCGCGAAGTCGATCATGCGGATGTCGACGCGCTCCGCCGGCGGCGGGGGCGCCGCTCGCGGGGCGCTCCACGCGCCCGCCGCCGCCTGCGACTTGGTCCGCGCGCGCTTGCCGCTCGCCTCCGCTTCCGCCTCTGCCTCGGCCTCGCCGCGCCACGACTCGCTGCTGGTCGACGAGTACGCCATCCAGCTGTCGGTGGAGTCCGGGCTGGGCGGCTGCCGGCGTGGCGAGTGCGAGGCCACCTCGCCCTCCTCGTAGCCGCCCATTGTCTCCTCCGAATGCGGTTGGAACGGCTCGCGAGTGCCGTGCGAGTCAGATGAGATCTCGTCATGTAGGGTGGACATGTCGAAGTGACCCGGGGACGGCGCCAGGTCTGTCGAGCTGCTGGACGCGTCCGCGTCGTACTCGTTGCCTGTAGCTTCGTCCGCCGTCGATTCGCTTTCGACGTCACCCTCGTAGACTATTAATAATGAGCTGTAACAGAAAAGTAAGAATAGAACGTAAATTTCGATAATGGTGCAATAATGTTAAAAGTAGAAAAGGCACAGAATAAAGTATATTACAACAACAGGATTACTCACGAATGCAGTTAAGCAACTAAAGAATGGCCTAAGCGATGTATTAAGCCTAAATAAGGAATTACTGTAAAAATTTTTTTTACCTTATTACTTTAATACTTTATTTCCATGGACCGGCGGTTACTCAACATCGCTATTTAAAACTAAAAGTAGAGATTCCTGCCTGTACTAAATTAATAAATTATATACATCTTAAAATCACACCTAAGTTTCTGTGTTACAAGAAGATAAATAAAGCGTATAATATAACTTTATATATATAGCTAACCTTACAATGTATAGAGCCCAATCTCTTCAAATTTTATGGATTTATATTATTAAAAGTTTAAATAAACAAATCATATTTTATACGGGGTTTGAACCTGCTACAATTGTATTTAACATTGCTACACTACTGAAATCTTCAAGTACTGACCAGGAATAGAATCTGTAGCTAGTCTGCTTGGCGATAGCGCGTCGCAGCGCGTCTAGGTCTCGCAGCACTCGCCGCACGACACGCGCGCGTAGCCCGAAGAAGTCGCGCAACGCGTCGCGTAGGCCGCCCTCGGTTAGCGACCGGCCCCAGTACTTGTCGCGGCGTACGCACGCGCTCGTCTCCGGCACGTACACCTGTCGCACAACAACATTACTATTATCTTATATATAAAATTCTCGTGTCACAGTTTTCGTTCCCATACTCCTCCGAAACGGGTTGACCGATTCTCATGAAACTTTGTGAGCGTATTGAGTAGATCTAAGAATCATCTATTATTCATCCAGTCCACCCCTACATTTTTTTTTTATTTTTTAGACAAAATTTTTAGTTTCTATTTTTTTATGATACAACATACAAAAATACATACAATCCTAAATTTTCACCCTTCTATCATCAACCCCTATTTTTTTATAGCGTTATTAATTTATATGGCAAAACAACGTTTGCCGGGACAGCTAGTAATATATATTTTATACATGAAGCAAAAGCTTTAGGGGTATATGTATAGAAAAACTGCAGAATACTATTTTATATACTATATGCTATTTTTTAATTATCCATAATAAGTTAATAAAAAAAACTTATACAGACTACCATGTATTTGACATACGAGCACGAATGTGAAAATAATTATTATCGAATTTCGACCATTAGGCGACCCACTAAAACAATATAATATTTCTCAAACAAAAACAGAAATTTATAATATTATAAAAAAAAAGCAGAAGAGTTTTATTGCTTAAAGTATTTATCTCTGAAACTATCTACTACTGATCAGATTTGACAAGTCATTATAGTATTTCATAGCCCTATTTTTGGGAATGACTTACTGACTATTGGTTACCTTGTTCTGGTTCTTAGGAGTCAGAGAAAATGAAAAAGCTAACTAAAAACGAAGTTGAGAGCCACCCTATTTTTTATTCACAAAAAATATTGGTAGAAATGACAAAAACTAACAAGAACTATTTTATTTATTTATATAGGTACAGAGTCTCGACAACATATCTACTTGTATTATCATTAACGAACATACATATTTATGCCATTGATCCTGCTGTACTACTTTCATTTCGTTTCACTCGAGAACACAATCGAGGACAACGGTATTTACATGTTTCTTTCTCACTACAAACGGATATGAGACTTGCTAAAATGTATTGTGTCAAGCCTACTAAAACGATCTGTTATTCCATATCATGTTTATAATCTTCTACAAAGATGCTTTTGGTACTTGATTCTTTTTGTCTACCGCATATTAAACCTAGCGTGGATATATACTACTATACTATATATTGCCACAAACAATAATAATATACCTACAGTTTTCGCCCGCTACTTTTAAAGAAATATATGGAAAGTTTAATATATATAAAATAAAATACAAAATAACTTTAGGACGTCTACAGCTACAATACTTAGAACTAACACAGGCGACATACCGACCGTGATCGTTTTCCACGATTACCTTAACCTTACTCACAGCAAAAACAAACAATACTATTTATTTGTCCAGAATATCCCACGGACATCAATATTATTATAACATTATTCAAAAATAATATTCTATTATAAAATCAGGCAATCATCCAATCAAATCACATTTTCATAGCTAAAAACTAAATATATTGGTAATATGTTAGTTTTTTTACATATAATGACTGTAACCAAAAATTTCTCGTGGTATAGAAACAAAGACCAATACTAACATTAGTTATACGACAATTTCTAGTTTGATTAACAAACATTTGTAACGCACTAATAATGCAAAATAATAACGAATTTTAAAACCTTCACTTTCAATGCTATTACTGGCTTGAATTTTAGTTCGATATTTAATAAAGAATATAAATTAGCAAAATTTATTAAGGAAATATTTTTGTAAATAATTATTAATATTAATTTTACAATCTTATTTTTTTTGTAAATACTCTCTTTTCAAAGGCTGTCCGGAAGAGCTTGCATTAGGGATAGGACTGTTTTTATACTTAGTTTTAATTTCAACCTTTTAATTGTACTCAATATTTGTGCAATAAAATTTTATAAAAATTCAATCCAAAAGAATCCACTATATGTATAAGATAACGTATCTACACTATTCACAACATACATATTCCTACTTTTTTTTGTAAATTATATAAATTCCTTCAAAGGTTAAAGAGATATTGGCCAATAAGGCTGATATCATAATATTATACTTGAAAACTTCCAGCTTAAAATATGTTGTGCAGAAATACAACACAACTATTTGTGGACTACGGTTCCACATAATTACTTTGGCATAATTCAATATTAAAAATTTGTATGCAAATAAACAAAGAGAGGATTGTCTTTAGATATAGTAGTGAATATAGTACCTGCATGCCACATAATCGAACTCCAAGTGTTGCCGATGTGGAGGCAGCACACTTGGCGATCTGCTTGCTGCGTTTCTCCGCGGAAGCATCATCGCCATGTTGCCGTGTGCCCATCTTCAAGTCAAGCACACACGGCCGTCGGTACGATGATGTGATGTTCTCCATCATCAAGAAATCTGTGTAAACAAATATTTTAATGTAAGTAAATAAATATATTTATTTATTTATTCTTTTATACACAAACTTGTATACAAGGCGGACTTAATGAGGTGTAAAAAATACGCCAAATATATGCCAAAATATAATGACCAGAAAACAACATAACTACACTAATACTGATAGCTAAATTAACACCTAAGTAACGACAAAACCAAAGATAAAAATGCATATCAGAAGGTCTGTTTTGTTAGAACAACCTAACAAAATACCATTGTACATCAGGTAAGTAAGGTGTTTGCTATATACAATAACAGGGATTAAATAATACGCCATAAATATAGGGGCTATATTCCCAGATGAACGAGAAGTTTGTAGCTCTAGTAGTCTTGAAGACTGATTCACAATTTCTGCCTCAATATAGGAATGGGCTGTTGTACATCAATTTGAAAGCTAGCCAGGAACCTAATTTGATAAAGTAATATGAATATATTATTTCATTATACAAATTTTACTGTAAAGAAATATTCAGAAACACATTTCTGTATTTAAACATAAATACAGAAATATATAACGGAATACTTGATTTAACACATGTATTAAAACTAAAGGTCATTCTTTCTGTACGTGTATTATTAACATAAATGACGTTTACATGGAGTTAACGACGCAATTTTAAACACAAGTGGCACTAAACAGCTGTTTTGTTCTCGTGGAATCGCGATTGTACAACTAATTATTGTTCAAAGCAAACCACTTCTATACAGCAATTATACGGAATTATAATACTTTGAAATTACAATTAAGTAATAGTGTACGATAATTTATCGTAAAGTAATAGACTAGTATGATTTATTTGTATTTAAATGCTCTATCGTCGTAAAGTCCTTTAAAACAAAGCAATGTGAATAGAAAATTAAATAGTGAAAGCAAAACTTACATTGCTTATTTGAGTTGTCCATGTGGGCAATGCTCTTGAGCACTTCGCCCGCATTGCCATTTCGGTGAACTTTAAACCTGCAATAGGAAAATTGCACGCTATAGAGCTGTGAATAGGGTCCACGTTCGGCTAATATTACATTAGGAGCTAATTGAAACAAAGAGTTGGTGTTATCTGTTATATTGTTACATTTCAATCAAATTGTATTATTACCACGACTCCACGATGCAAGTCATCGGAGGCTCGCAGAGTGTGAATGGTCGTGCATCACTCACGCGTTAGTGGTAGCTATAGTCATGTAAGTATTGCGATCGTATGAATTAATGGCGACGTCGGGCCTCGGCCGGTCGTACGTCAAAGCTTCTGAAATATGATAAAGGACACATGACAAGTGTCGAGGAGTGTTAACCGCTCGTGTGGCGGTGGTGTGGCGCGGATACGCACTTGAACACGTCGTCGCGCTTGCGTTTGCCGCTCAGCGACTGCTTGCGGCCGTTCTCGTCGCGGAAACATGGTGAGTACCGCTTGTCCAATTTGTTGCTACCCGTGTTAGACGCCTGCATCACGCCTGCAACAAATGGCCCCGTCATCAGTAATGTAGCCCTCACACACACAAATGGCGATGCAACATTATTTACTGTCTTTATCACTTCAATTATATAAATCAATAATTAGATACTTTGTACTAAAAGTCAACAATTGAAACGAATTTATAAAATTGCGTTTTAAAATAATTAACTTCCAATGTAATAAGAACATGAGAAGTAATAGGAGACCTAAAGCCACAGGTCTTTAGACGGGACTTGAACCCGGATCTCTGGTCTTGCCAGCGTGTTGCTTACACCACTGAGACATTTGAGTTCTATTATTGCAATCTATATACATTGCAAAGTCAATAAAATTAACATACTACGGTGCAAATTGGCAGCGTTAATTTTGATGAAGTGAAATTTACGTAATTTTAAAAAGGGTTTGTATATCTTTTGTATTGTGTTTTGCATTGTTGTATGTATGTATGTATGTATTGTTCTAAGTGGTGTAATATTGTAAATTGGTATTCTATTTATATGTATGAGACGTTTGTGATAATTGCGATACTGTGTGATATGTTATCATGTGTTGGTGGATGTTTGATATGGACGTAGTTTTAAGTAAAGGTTTACAAACCCATTAAGTAAAATTACCGCTAGGGCGCAATTAGGGGCGGTTGTGTGTGGCACCGCCGGAGTCGCTCCGCCCGCCGCCGCGCCGCAGCCCTTGCGACAACAAGGAAACTAATATTGTGGTCCTGACCCCTGGCCCGTTACCACTATCACACCACTCTCGCACTCAAACCAAACCCGCCCGCCGCCCGTCACATACACCACACCTAACTAAACGCACGCCTTCCTACAAATACGCGCTCATTGTACCAATAAACTTTTACAATCATGCAGACAAATCAATATTCACTTTCTATATATAATACGGTCAAACTAATAAAGATACAAAAATGATAATCATTAACGAAAGTGAGTTTTTCTGTATGTCTGTTCGAATTTATGTCGATTCAAATTAAGAGAAAGGAAATAATAGAAGTAAGCTAAGAATTAAACAAAAGGCAACATGACAGCATAATTTAGTAGTATTGTACAGAAACAGAGACAACACAGGAAAACAAGAACCACGGACATGCTATTCCATAATCTGGCAATGAGAATACGAGTATTATATAGCAAATCTACTGCGGCATCGATGCTCATACAATATTATACATTTAAAGTAACATTAGTATATTTTACGACTATTGATTAAACATAATTATTAATAATTCATTCAAAACTTTAAACAAATTTGAATCATGTTAAATCATATTTATTAACCAAATTCTATTACTCACTAAACGATTACTTAAATGACTGAAACGTGCATGGCAATCGTTGTTCATACACAGGATTTTTTATTAGTTATAGGTATAAGTAACGAAAGATAAAAAAGTAACTTTTAAAAACAGAAATTCAGTACAATTTCTTGCCAGTTTTTTTCGATGAAGTAGATGGTAGGGAAATAAATATTAATATAAAAATCTTGACGTTCATAAACGCTAAAATGTTTTACATAAATACATTATTTTAGATTTGATTTGATTATACAATATAGGGATATTGTATAATCAAATCAATATATAAATATACTTGTATAATAAATATATTTAGGTAGGGACCTAAATATATTTATTATACAAGTATATTAAATATTTTCAAGGCAATAAATACAATTACTACATTTTCAAAACATTTTACATATATGAGCGTACGTTTTAATAATGGATTGAATAATTTACCTTTGTAAAAGTTCATACTACCTGTTAGTAAACGCACAATATTTTTATATTAAAATTTCTGGATAGTGGCCTTATGTTTCAGAATTTCATATGAGGAAAACCAGATTCGCAGATAAAACTACTTCAGCTGTTGTTTTGTAACGGACTACATAAACAGTTTGGAATCTAGTTCAAAACATGTGAAGTATCTTGTTTGCATCCTTACATGTATGAAATTCTCAAAGTAGGCCACAGCGTTATTAGAGCACATTCTGAAATTTCTAGACCGATCTCTACTTGCCAGATACATAATTCTGAAGACTGACATGTCAGAATACAAGTAAAGTATTCAGGTATAAATATCGCATAGCTAATACGTTCATCATATATTATGTCAGAAGGAAGCTGTCGACAAAGTGTGACAAAGGGTGCGATGGGCCATAAATTTCGTGACTTCGCATTTCAAAATAAAATATATCTAAGTATTCATACACGCAATTTAAATTATTAACGAAAAACTTAATAATATTTCAAATTCGTCTACTGGGTTGTTAGGGTATTGCAAAATACGTGTCGTCCTAATAGTAATCTCGTAATCTCAAAAATGTGACAAGGAAATGGGAAGTGGTAAAAAAATTACGTAATTTATGGATAACCCTTAAGACAGTAGCCGTTTTTATAACCTCTTAAAATTCTCTTAAAATTATGAATTTTACTTTATTTTAAAAAATCACACTTCAGAATGCTTTATACCATCTTTATATAGAAAATTTGTGGTAATATCATTTCAGAATTCGCCCCCATATTGACATGATCAGAATTTACTAATTTTATTCACAACCAGATAATTTATATACTAAATATATCACTATACATTATATTAATAGGTCATCGTGGTATATTCATTTCATTGTGAGTAGTGACATATAAATATTTAAATTGATTAGTGTTAATGTATAAACAAATACTTCTAGAAGATTTTGTGCGTTCTTTGTTGTTTTACTATTAATAACTGTTGAAAACTAACCATATTTTTTTGAGAATTTCGTTACGAGAAAACCACTATCTATCAACTTATTAACAATAATAACCGATTAACAATAATTATTCATTTCTAATTTAATCATATTTATTTTAGTAAAATAAAATGTAATTTCACATCCTAAGCATTTAAATCTTCCACATTATGAATGTTATTTACCTCAACAAACGGAAAATTTAGTTGTAATATATTATGATTAGATGTTAATAATAATACCTTTATAATAATCGGTAGCATATAAAATCAGAGTTATATCCCTGTTTGCGGTCGACGGGTTTGTATAAAACGAACATGCATCCATCTCTCTCATATACATTACTCAATATGTATTGATGAACACCATTATGAGCAATAAGGAAAGCCAATTATATGCTTATATTATATTTATTTACGGCATATTTATATGTATAACTTTCGCAATTTACGACCGGAAGACAATAGAGCGAGTGACATTATCTCAGTAATTGCGTTAGATTATAACAATGACGCAAATGATAAAAACAGAAATCATTCATCGAACGATTAAACAAAATAAAAACAAAACACATTTCTCTGGTAGTAAAGTGTTACAAAAATAAGTCGATAAAAGAAATTGTCATTAAGATTACCGCTTATTTTGAACTCTTGATATTAGTAACAGTCCTTAGTGCTCCAAAATGCAAACATTGAACATAAAAAATTTGATATCTAATAAAAACAAGACAATTATTATAAGTAAAAAAGAAAAATAATGTAGATGCAATGAATGATTACGATGCATTGAGCGATTCGGAAAAGCGTATCGGGCATAATCGATATCAATTTCACTAATAAAATTATATGCAATTCTCACCTTTGTATCTAGGTACGAAGTTCTGGATATCTTCAGGAATGTTCTGGTAGAAATGCAGTTCACGAATATTCAGCGGCTTGATCACGGTACTGTCGTTTAGTACCAATAGTCTAGTGTGGCCGCCCACCTATAGATAAAAATAAAACGTCAGCAGACCGTCTCGTGTATGATTGTTTACTATAAACATGATGTATAAACTTTTGCATGTGAAAGTTATGATAAAACGAGTTCAGTATCGTACTATAGTGTCAATAAATAAACTATCATAGCTGTGACTATGACAACAAATATTGCATAGTATCATACAAACAAATACAAAACATCCAATATATGTACATACAACTAAACGTTCCTGCACGATCCATTACTTACGAGTTAAGAGTATCTTTAATCTTACCAATCATACGAGTAATATATGACATAAGTTTAAAGCAAGTAAATCTAAGCGCTTAAGTTATAATTAAGTTCAAAAGAACATAATGTAATCAAAGTTTGTTAAAATGGTAGTAATGCAATGACTTCACCTAAACTACTACAGTAACAAATCACTCAGAATTAAGTATCTCTAAAGACCTAATAGTGCGTACATGAGACGATTGTCTTCGAAGATCACCCAGTATCATTGTTTTTATCTATAGACAGATATTATAAAACAAAGTCCCTCGCTGCATTTGTCAGTACGTTCATTTTTGTTTTTCAGATTTCAGACGTCAATATATAAAAATGATAATTAAATCACGAACTGTTATATATTAATGTGTATACTATATACAAATGTATAGTAAAAAAGCAGTAAGAAATTTGTTTGTTGAAATGAGATCTACTCGATGTTACGTTCACTTAACATAGTGGCAAAAGTCCATCTGATATCGTAACCAATAATGATATTCTTGTCGTAGGTCCAAAAATAACTACTTTACATGTTTTATTCGACACAGTAATAGTGAAATTACAGGAAAAGAGGCATGACATTTTAGTACTCAGGTATGACAACATTGACAACGCACTAGTGGTATCACGTGACGTAGTGCTGTTGATATTATATACGACAGTTACCGTCAGCCTGTTACCATGCCAATTATATACAAAACGCGAAACAGGATTCTTTATCATGGCTTTTTTTAACATCATTATACCTCTGATATTGTCCCCCCCCCCCCCCATGCTTTCATTTACCGCAGATGTCAAATCCAAATAATAATATATTAATAATAAGACTTTCATAAAACTGCTGACAATTTTATTTTACGCACTAAGCCTAGACTACATACACGTATAACTTTTTTATTTGTAAACCAATTGGAATAAAATAAACACATAATTTAAGCAAAGATTGCCACAATACGTGAGACGTAAAAAACAGCACCCAAATCAAGTCGTTTCTTCATTAGTTAGGTTGTAATATTTATTATTAAGCATTAGTAAGCAAACAACAGATAAAAATGTGGTTAGTGTGATAGTCATATGATATACAGCGGTGCGTAACTTATTTATACTATTTTCTATCATGATAGTCATCTCACAAAGCCACTGATTATCGAACAATCACACTAGAGTCATTTGAGGCCTTTATTGCATGGAATATATTTTTATTAATTGGAAAAATTACAGACCGACGTCAATAAACCTAAGCAGTGCTTTGTTATTGACAGATACGGTATTCATGTCGTCATGCGGTCACGATCGACCTTGTTACCGTTGCTAAACAAAGTTTGATTTGTTATTTACGTAAGCCACTTGTTTTAATACACCGCCCTCTCAATATAGATTATTTGAAACATGTACCAAAGTAATATGACATCGTATTTATAGCAGAACTAAGACATTGTAGGTATCTTTATTGCTAAAGATTACTAGGTAATTTAAATTTAAACGCTTCCGTATTGACTATGATTCAAATTATTAGTCATTCATTCCTCATAAATATACTTATAATACTAAAACAACAAACAGCATTTTGGGAATTTTTTAAGTTTTATGCAAATTGCAGATACCTACATCATACATAAACAAATTTCATTTTTATTTATAAATGCCATATTAATTCAAATGTCTACCGTAAAAATAAATCAAAGTCATTGCTCCATTAATGGAAAAACGAATAAGACCAGCCAGCCATTCTCGGTCGCTACCTTTGTTAATTCCGTTGTTGTACAAAACATAAAAAGCGTATAAAGCGTACATTATGCATTTTGTGTTCGCCTTACTCATACACGCGTAAATCGCGCTGCAGTCTGGACTGCACGCCGCTAGCGATGAAATTACACACAACACCGAGTAAACGGCCGAAGAAATAAAAAAAGCAGAGCCGTTGACCTGGCATCGAACGGGTATGCAGATACACCTGAACGAGGCCAGACGCAACGACCCTGTCATAGATATTAAGGAATATCCTTAACGAATAACATGTGTAACAGTGACAGCATTTAACACTGTCTGAGGCGGTACTAATGTGTCTACCACATAATGACTACCATATATATATGGTATATGGTAGTCATTATATGCGGTACCAAATTATCTTTGTCTCAATAATGCTGAGCGGTGATCACTTTAGCCAAAAATGGCACTGCCAAACGATTTTTTAACTCTCTGGCAACTAGAGTTAAATTAATAAATTGCAAATAAACTGAATAGATTAAAATTAAAAAAAACTGAGACAGGCAGGCCATATTTTAAATATTTTTACATTATAGATGTTTCATAATTTTAATACCGACAATATCACTATCAAAACGAAATAAACGCAGAGGCAGCCAGCGGGAATAGCTAGTAATATATATACGTTTATTTTTCATTGTGTACAGTCATGCTATGCTAATAAATCACTAAAAACATTAAATATGGCAAGTAGCTGTCTTGTCGTACGTAGTAGTTGCGTGTGATATAAAACGCACCTGTTTCACAGATTCCGTTCCGGCATGCTCCGGTAATCATGCATTTAGTGATTACGATGAATAATTTGTACATACAGTTACAAGTAGTACTGTTATCTTGGCTTTTGCAGAGACTAAAGTAGTATTTCAAATAAAGAAATAGTAGCAGATCAATATCTTAAAAAATAGACTTGATGAGAAGAGTGAATTTATAATTACAAGATACGGAAACATGATAGCTTATTTACCCCGTAACTTCCGGTACCGGGTACCTGACCACCACGTCATACCGTATACATGGTGCTGCAAAGTACTTACATCTTCATATGACAGCCTTTGTATCCCTCGTAGCAATTTACAAGGATCAAAATGTCATGTCAGTTTATACTATATTTTCATAGTCATATTCCACCCATCAAATCAACAAGAACAAAACAAGTTGGTTGACTGCTAAAATAGATAAAAAAGAGGTACCCACGCAAACAACTTTGTAAGTGTGTGGTAGTTTTTAGTTACAACGGGTGACTAACCTGATTGTGCAGCGGCAAAACATCCACCTCGTGACCGTCATCGGGCGAGAGGGTCGTGTGCGCAGCGGCGGGCGGCTGGGCGCGCTTGCGATCTACGCCGCGCCGCTCCGGCTCGCCCATGCCCCAGCCAAGAGAGTACACCATTACTTCGGCAGAGCCACCGCCGCCACTGTCCACCTGTTAACATTAATTACAGGTAATATAAGGGGTAAGGGAATTATGAATAATGTGAATTAATAACCCCATTGCTAGCAATGTACATTACACTTGTTTCACCTCCCCCCCCTCCCTTTCATATTAAATTTCTGCTGAATTTGCCACAATGGGCTGACAAGACCTCATTGCTCATCTTATCGTCCTCCACTGGTGCCCCGCCATCGTATACCGTTAGCGTAGACGGATGCACCAATCCATTAAAAAACACTAACATATTTCAATATAATAAACAGCTACATAAATGTATTGTTTAATTTTTTTGTGAAGACAATGAATGAATAAAGAAATAATTTACAATCGACATGTTGCATCTTTATATCGAAAAGTCTATTATAATAAGACTAATCGTTTATTGTAAACACTGACTTTACAAAAATTTATAAATTTTGTACATTGTAAAAGATTTGTATTTCATTATTTAGAGTATGTATATGTATATATCCTAAATATAAGAGTACAGTTCGATGTGGAATTGAAAGAAGATAAAGTCCTCAAATATTTAATTACAATAATCTTCAAATTGGGTAAATATGTATCTAAACTTAATTTGAAAGATACGAACAAGGAGGACTTTTGTTTATCTTAATAATAATACTAAATGGAGCATCTAGAATACATAAACAAAAAAACAACATGCTCAATTTCTTCTACTTCTAATAGTCCCGTCTAAAATATGAACCTATAAAACTATTTTAGGTTTGAAATATACGCTTAAGATTTTATTAGCCTAACAATTTATAACGCACTTGTCCATAGCCTTGTCTTTGTTTTATTATTAGGCATGGTATGTTAATAAATTGCACACATGTCCATTGTTCGACAAAAATACTAGCAAATAAAACCATAAAGTACGACGATGCGCCAAATTAGCCACTAGGTACATTAATATTTTACTCCTATTTACGTCTCAAAAATAATAAAAATAAAATTGCATCATAATCAGATTAATTAAGACTTCATACAAGATGACAAGTTTGTAATAAAACAAAAAAGAACTTAGATTCGATAACGAGACAAGAAAAAACCACGAAAAAAATAGTCAAAAAAAGATAACCATACCGCCACGATTACAATGCCTTTCTTAACATTCGATAACTATTTATCAAAATTGACCCTGATCGTACTAGAGGTACAATAAAATGTAAATATAGAAATGTCCATTACATTGACCTTACAAACTACAGGTCCAAAAGTCGCTGATGCAAGATAAGCGTACAATTACATCTATAGTAATAAAACATTAATTTCAGTACGCGACGCTACTTAAAAGACCGAAGATGTATGTCAGAGTACATTCAGAGTACAAGTATTACAGTTGTGTGTTGCAAGTCACAAATAATTAAACTAGATAAATAGGTAAATACAGCATATCCATGTCAATCAATAGAATATGAATATTAAGTTTGTTCTATATAAGGGCGCATCAAATTGTAAAGAAGACGTAATCATTACATCAATTTGTGAAGCTATGGATGGTAACATTTTTGAACTTTTATAATATTGTTTAAAAGATTTTTCGCTTATAGGAAAAATTTTTCGCTCATAATTCTAGACTCACAGCTCAAACTTAACTTGAGTGATAGTACTGGGCAATGTAACACTGCCTCATCTATACTAATATTATAAAGCTGAAGAGGTTGTTTGTTTGTTTGAACGCACTAATTTCAAGAACTACTGTTCGAATTTAAAATTCTTTTTGTGTTGAATAGTCCATTTGTTGAGGAAGGCTTTAAGCTAAGCATGATGATATATACATTACACTACGACCAATAGGAGCCAAGCTACAATATTGCAAAACGTGGAGAAATTAAATGCAGACGAAATTACGTGGGTAAGGTCAGTATAACATATTTCTGCTGTAAACCAGTTACTTTGCTAACTAGTTCGATATAGCAATGAAATTATAGAGGCATCTTAATCCACAGAAATGTCAACTTATGAGAGATACCACGAGATGCACAATATATTTTGTGAGGACTTTCACGTGGAAAGGTGATACAAATTAATTGGATCAGGTATTATAATGGCAAATCATCATTATAGACCCAAAAAAATCGTCTCTATCTGTTATAACTCCAAAATGCAGGCACGAACATAAAAAAGAAGTATGTAATCATGTCCAAAGCCATTAGGCAGACCATACGCTTTCTTTTCTGAGGTGGGTGCACATTTATGAGATTCATGACGCAGTTCAACCACAAATATTTTCAACGACACAACGACGCCGTGGTGATTGCGTCGATCGTACATCCGACGTTCGTCGACGAACGAGTGCCAGCAAGCAGGCGGCGTCACCAAATTAGAAGCGAACACATGAATGCCTGAGCAAGAGGGGGGTATTTCGTGACGCATAAGCCCCGCCTCAGCTGCTCGCTACCATGTCAGCGAACCACGAAGAAACACGGCGCGGCCATACGCCTAAACGAGAAACAACAAAAATAGAAACGCAAAAATACATTGAAAAATAAAAACATAATTGTTTTGCTGGCCAGGTTCACTGAAATATTATTAGCAAACCTTACACCAATAACGCTCTTTAACTCGGTTAACAAATATGTGGGGAATGAAATACTAACGTATTCACTACGTAATATAATCGTACTAGTACTACTATCAGATACCACACTATACACAGGAACCTTCAATGTATTATAATAGCAAATATTTTTTGTAATGGTTTTGTACATTATAACGTGTGAGATACTGGGATGACGCGTCAAATGCCTGCTAATGGAATACTAGATATGATGGGTGCGAATGTTTAAATTTGGAAGATAATAAGGTCATGAATATCGAGAACCGGGTAGGACCGGTTCCAAGAAGATACGCTGTTTCGACATAGACAAACGGTTATATTTATCGCTGTCCATTCACAATTGTATAGCTTTAATCAAATTAAATATTACTCGTATTACATAAGATGGAGCGAAAATGACACGCCAACATCAACCATGGTCATTCTCGCAACAATAATTGTCATTTTAGGTATAATTAATAATAACGAGTCTGTGACAGTAGTCTTAAAACAGCTAAAATATAAAAACATCAGAAATCTACCAAGATTATCATTTTCACTAAGAACACAGAAGATACAAAAGCTACCTATGTAGCATTTCTATCCTAATAGGAAGAAGATTATTTAGAATAAAATTTATGAAAAGATATTATGATCTATAAGCAAAGAATGTTTCATATAAATGATCCAGTGCTGACTTACATTCCGCACCTAGAACGATATTAATATAACGAAACCTACACAAATTCTGTATAGTTATAATAAAACGATACGAATACCTTCGTATGCAACGTCTGAATAATATGACCCCGACTGAGTATAGTATGTATTTTCAAGTTATTTGCGGTATTTACTTGTGTTTTCGTGGATAACATTGACATTTCCTTGCATGCCAGTGATCGCTACTCGCAAATGTATATCCGGCTACTGCATACCACATTTTGTTGCCCCGAAGTTTGTGCCGTTCCTTTACTTTTCAAACTGATTCGCCTTTCTTTCATGTAGCCAAGAACTGTTGAAACTGTATCTTGGCGTTGGAATAGCATTATAAGTAAGGGTGTGGTTGGACTTGAAAATATGGGTTAGTGTCGGGTCAGTAGGGCGAATGCGGTTGCCGCCAGTCAGTGCGTGCCACGGTAATTGTATATATTATTTTGCAACTCTTCAATTTTGCACACTAATTCGTACTGAGCTGGAGAGCTCTCTTGCCAAAATGCCGCCCGCATAGTACACCCGCGTAACAATATAATTACATCTCGAAAATTTTCCAGAAACAAATATAATAATCTACGCAAATAAAGTTAAATGAAACTAGATAGCTCAACAGGTAGCTACGTTAATTCTTAATATAAACATTTGTTTGATATAGCATAGATAAGTGATACTACTCAAATTCCTAAACAAAACAGCAATTCTTGTTTCAGAAAACAAAGTGTTGTATTAAAGCGAGCATAATTATAGTTTCCTGGATAGGTACAAATGAGTGACATGAAAAAAATCGTTATATTATTTATTGATATATTAAAATTTATCATCAATGACCAGAATTGTAGTGGCGCTTTTTTCAGTTTACAGTTGAATGAAAGCAGTCAAACCCAGCCAAATGATGTTACTCATCGTTTTCATTCACGGGATTTTTTCTGTTTACTCGTTATCAATAAATAGACTGGAAATATCCAATACGTTCAAATCATAAAAAATAAACATATTAAACAAACTTATTCATACATTGGTGAGATTTTCCAACTTACTGACTCATACATATAAGTAGGTACTTCTATAACATTCGATGTTTTTTTATCTTCCTCAATGAAACCGCGATGAAGTGAAGACAAATCGAATGAGTGTTACTAAACCTAACCTATATTTCCTTTCACCTTGATCTTGATTTGATGACGGCCAGATAAAACGGTAGCTATTGGCGAACAAATGATTATGTAATTTATATAAACAGGTGGCGCGTCATTAGCTGTGGAAGTATGTCCCTATTGGTCGGTCGATCGGTTACGTCGTGTTACACTCCCACATCGCATTCAGTCGGATTAATATTACTATTTTACGATCAAATTGTTTCATATATACCTATTGTACGTGGAATTATCAGTATGTACCGTCGCGGCACGTGCTACAGCATGAGTCGGACTCGGAATAGCCAGCCAACTGCACAAAGTGTGCCAGCACTGCCAACGTTAATTATCTAATAATGTTATTATTTATAATGTGATCGATTGATACTTACACCGTTCCCATATACATTTCATTTACATTGACTTAATGAGAACAAATATTGATAAGAGACGCATGCGCCGACATATTATATACTTCTCGAGAAGCATCTGCTCATTCGAGAAATTACCAACACGTACTATTATTTATACAAAGATAAATAGATTTTCCTTTATTAAACTACTTTAATATAATAGTACTGATGATTATGTATGAGTCC